GAGTGGGAGGGCTGGGGAGATAGCTCTTCGAGAGTGGGAGCTGTCCGAAGTCGTGTGAGGTTCTGAACAGGTCTTCACAGTTCCAAAAGCCTGTGCAGGTCAGCAGTCAAAACAGTCTGCCCAGAGAACCTGAGATAAGCGTGCTCCTGCCGTCCTGGAAGCCTTCACAACTGATTGAGTTCTGCTGGATTTCAAACACTTCCCCCTCCTTGGGCCGCTAGCAAGTTGGATAGATAGGATTTCATTACCATGGTGACGCAGGACTGGGGAATTATCCAAATGGCAGTCAGTCATTCATTCATTCCATAAATATTTACCGAGTGCGGAGTCCATGCCAGGTGCCGTGGAAGAAGCCGGGATCCGCCGCTGACTGCGCAGAACACGCCTGGTGTGAGGGCTGAGGAGGGGAGTGAGCTGTGTGCCTGGGCAGCAGCACGCCCCGAGGGGCTCAGAGAGGGGCCTCCTCCTCCCCAAAGAAGTGCTTTAGCTGAGCCTGGGAAATGAGAAGCCATCGCCCAGCTGGGGGCGGAGAAGGTCAGGCAGAGGACATGGAAGGGCGCAGGCTGCTTCCTCTTGCTGCCCTGCAAGCTTCATGCCTCCAATGGACACACTTGTGCTTCTTGGTTCCTGTGCAAATCCTGGGCTCACAGCCCACCTCCGGGGCCGCAGGGAGTTTCCAGCTGACTGTGCTCCCCTGTGAGGCTCAGCAGAGGAAGAGCCCTCTTCCCAGCTGTTCGGGTTATCCAAAGCCACTTGTTTTGGCCTCCTGCTCGCCAGTCACCCATCCCAGGAGCCTGCTGGGCTGACCTGGAGAACCTGCCCAGCTTGCCAAAAGGAGGCATGGGTGTGACCTCCTTGACCTGTGCCCCACTCTGGGGGAGGGAAGAGGTCACACGAGGGGGACACTGGGAGGTGGGGCACCCATAGGACTCCCCAGGGTCTCTCTGAACAGGTGGGTGAGGCTGTTTGGGAGGAAGATCAGGGGTGAAGGGGTGTGGCGGGCATGGGCCGGAGGGAGAACTTGGGCCTGCCCAGCCCTGAGGGCCCTGAGGATGCTGGGGGAAGCAGAGCGAAGCCTTGAGGGACACAATCACATCTGCTCCCAAAAGTCAGCCCCCTCTATGTTATGTATAACATAATCCCCTGGTGACTGTCCTTTCAAAGAAGTGTTCCCAGGCCAGGGATATAGCTCAGTGGCACAAGTGCCTGCCCGGCAAGTGCAAGGTCTTGGGTTCAATTCCTGATTCCAAAAAAAAATTTGAAAGAGAAAAAGTGTTCCTGGACGCCTCCACTGAAGAGAGCCAGGCGGCCAGGGGACAGCAGTGAGGGGCAGCTCTGGGACTTTGTGCACCTGGAGCCACGAATGTACCGTGGTCAAGCAGTAAATTCCTGCCTATTGTAAAGATGGCAACAGGAAGAAAATGTTGGGGAGTAACCAGGACAGCTCTGGGGAGGGAGATGGATCAGCTGCCAAATAAAAGTAAGAGACTCCTGATAAACCCAGTAAAATGGAGCAGGGATGGCTGAGGGTTCAGGTAAAAGGGAGTGCGTCCTTGCCTTTGGCCCTTTTCCCCGAGCTCCTGGAGCTGCCCCTTGCTTCTTAGCTCTCCTTGCTCCAGAGAAGTGACCCGAAGCCAGCCACACTTGACCTCAAAAGCCTGATGATCCCTAACCACTACCCAGTGGGTCTCTGGGTGCCACCTCCTTGTGACAATTCCAAAGCAAACTGTGAATTTCTCTTTCTCTAATGCATTTGATGGTCACTTCAAAAAACTATTCTTCAAAGAGATTGCATTAGACAAAAAAGAAAGCAAAAGAAAAACCATCAGCATTAACTACAGAATTCTGATGGGTTATTATAACATTATTTTTCCCTGAACACTATTCCCTGCATTCTTTTTGAGCTCTAAATTACCAATTCCAGTCCCTGTGTAGCTAAATAATAATAATTACCATATAAATGAATATGCATATGTGTCATTTTTCTCCCTAAAAGCAAAAAAGCCTGTTTGTTTTGGATGAAGGTTTGTTGTGCTTTTGAACAACCAAAGCACATAATTAGAAGGCTCACCTCTCGCTCTGAAACCCTGTCTCCACTGGGAAGAGATGAAAAAGGCTCTGGATGCCCCTTGAAGATTCGAAGAAATTTTAAAACAAATTGAAGGAGATATTTCTTTCTTCTGCAGCTACCAGGGGCTTGGACAAGACCAGAATCTCAGGCTGCGCAGCTGGAAGGGACGTCTGAGCTCAGGCCCAGCCCCATCACTGCAGATGGCAGAACAGAGGCCTAAGGGAGGGAAGCTGCACCGCACAAACTGCTCCCCTGCCCACGCCTCCACACAACGTGGCTTCTGTGGTCCTTGAAGAAACAGCAATGAGCTGTGTAAAGATCTGGGTTCTGGGACTGCTGTGGGACCTAGGGCAGGCCCCGCAGGCCCCAGAGGGTCCATGTGAGTTATGAGGCAGGCCCACAGCCTCCAGGGGTGTGGGACGCCCAGATAAGGGCCTGGTCCAGCATCAGCCCTGCCCTGTGATCCACGCTCCAGCTGCCCAGTGACACACACCAGCGCTATAACCACAGCTTCTACAGCGTGGGTGCCCCGCGATGAGACGCAGGCAGCCAGTGGCCACCACCATCAAAATAATAATGGCAACAAATATCATGAATAGTAGTATGATCAATACGATTATAACACAATACTAGCATGTACAGTAAGCCCCTGACTTATGAGCATCCCAACTGTGAACTTCCAGCTGTCTGTACAAAACTCACTTTTCCGGCTGACAAATGAATCCGACTTAGGAACAAATTTCCCAGAATGGGACTCATTTGTAAGTCAGGGATTTCTTGTATAATATACTATACTGAGTACTGCTCACCTTCCCAAAGACTAACGACATCGTTCGCGATGGTCATGCCAGCTGTTGGCCAGGCCTCAGGCCGCCTGACCTCCTCTGTCTACACTGTAGGTGCACTTTACAGAGTGGTGCAGATCAAGCTTTTAAATAAGCACAAAAAGGGCTTCAAGAAGTTAAATGTGTGTTGGAGAGACTCTTCCAGATCTCCCAGGGCAAGCCCGGGAAGCCCGCTGACAAAGTGAGGGGGACCACGGTCATTTCCCCCAAACCACCCCTTGCTGATCTACGGATACTGGGGGGTGGGAGGGGATCTTAGAGAAAAAGCAGCCCAGGCCACCTGGATCCAGTGCCTCAGCTGTGTGGCATTTCTCAAGTTTTGGAAGGGAAAAAGACAGCTGGCTGAGTTCAAGGGTCGTCACGCGGGATGCAGACAGTAGGCAGCCTAGCTGAGAGCCTTCTGTGCCTGCAGACTGAGCTCGGGGTGCACACACCAAGGCGGGGAGCCCGACTCAGAGGTGACTGATAGCTCACGGCGTCTGTCACGTGAGACACACAGGTGAGGGCGCCTTCTGCTTCCTCACGCTCCAGCCCCAGGGCACCTGCTGCCACAGTGCCACAGTGGGCACAAAGGGGACCTGCAGTGCCTGGACCCGAGGTGGGGACCCTTCCTCCTTGGCCCCAGGAGTCCAAGCCGTGGTCTGTGAACTGTTCCCCTCTGTCCTCCTCCCGCTGGTCCTGCTCACAGCACAGTCCCGGGAAACAGAGGAGTCTGGTAAGGAAAAACCCAGCTTCCTGGCTGTAGACTGAAAGGAGCCCAAAAGGGGACATTACAGGGCTGCCGGGGAGGGAAGCTCAGGAAGTGACGGCATCAGGCTGCTTCTGCAGAGGCTGGATGAGTTTACAAAGAGGAAGGCGTCACTGAAGCCACAGCTTCGGAGCTGGAGTCCAAAGCACCGCGCAGGCTCCCTGAGCTATCTCGCCGGCCCCAACACTGCAGCTATCTTGAGAAGCAAGCCGGGTCCGCTGAGAAACACCTTCAGCCCTCCAAGGGCACAGCCCGTGGCCCCAGGGCCCCGGACACGGCGGCACATGCTGGCCATTAAAGAAAGGACCAAATAGAATTTTTAGTACTAAGCGATATAATAACCAGAATTAAAAACTCACTGGACAGGGTCAGCAGTCAAATGGGGAGAGAGAAGAGTCGAGGCGCCTGACAACGACTTGCACAAATTGTCGTCTGATGAGCACGCAGAAAGAAAAGATGGGACAAAGGGCTGCGGGACAGCGCATTCAGGCCGCTGCAGCAGCCGCAGGAGAGGACGGCGCCGGTGCGTGCGTGTGTGCGTGTGTGCGTGTGTGCGTGTGTGCGTGTGTGCGCGCGTGCAGGGATTCTGCTCCGCGTGACTGCAGCCATCTGGGCTGTCACTGCCCTCTTGCCCGCCAGGTGACCCTGACAAGCACTCCAAGCCTTACGGGACAAGCAAGTCATCAAGACAACAGCTGAGTGTCTCGCACCGGCCACCACGCCACACAGCGTCTTTGCTGAGGTCGGGCACTGCCCCGGCCCCAGCCCGGCGCGGTCCAGTTAGGATAGACTCTCTGCCCTGTGGGGTCGGGTCCCCCGTCGTCCGCTGCCAAGACGCGCTCCTGTGCCTAGGCCCCATACGCTGCGCTCTGCACGCCCGGCCCTGCCCCTGCTTTGGTCCTGGGGTACCTTGTAGCTGGCTCCACACACCAGAACCAGGTTTCTCTGAAACAGTACCAGAAATTGTTGAAGAAATAAAGGCTGAAAATGTAACCTGTCCCTGCCGCTGCTAGGCCCTGGGTGCTCCAGCATTGCCTGCTGCTGGCCCTACTCCCCACCCCCACTTCAGCCACTGGCCTTCCTCGGGGTGCTCTCCGGTGACCCCTCTCTCAGTAGACCCTGCTGGCATTACCTGTCTCCATGGTTACTTCCCTCCCACACAGGTGATATCTATGTCCATAGACTGCCCTTGGCCGCCCCAGGGCTCCTGTTTGTCTGCTTTACCTTCTCTATCTGCCTCTGGTCGTCTCTGTTCCAGAGAGGAGCAGACACCCCTCTTGCTCCCAGCAGCCCTGGTTAGGGACCCCCACCCTGTGGGCACCCGGCAGGGGCTCACCCTCCTGATGCAGTCCTCTTCCCGCAGGCGCTCCTCCACCAGTTGGATGAGCAGTGAGTCGGGGACTTTCTAAAAGAAAGACGACACAGGACCTTAGACCCCAGCTCGCATCTGGGAGCTCGGGCAGGCACCAGGCTGGCAGCAGGCCCCTGCACACACAGCACGCCCTCAGGAGAGAAGGGCGGGGCCCGGGCACCTCCGGAGAAGGGGGAAGGGGAGACACGGTCCCACAGGAGCTCGGCTCTGAGACTCAGGCCGCCTGGCTTTGCTGCTCTCCCTGATGTCCCCCCAGAGCCCCAGGCACTCCTGGGCAGGGCTATCAGAATGTGTTGGGTGGGGTCTGGGCAGAAGGGGGGTCCTGGGCATAGGACTGGTCAGGTCACCCTCTCCCTCGTCTCCCTTCTCTCACGGCTTCCTCTGTGCTCCACAGACTCTGCCTTCCTTCCTGGACCCAGCAGACTACAAACAATGGAGCCAAAGGAAGCGCTCCTCCCCTGGGCCGTGCGAGCCAGGGACTTTGTCCAATGATGACGAAGCTCACTGCGACACCCTGGCTGCACGTGGGTGTGCCTGAAGCCCATGGTGTTCAGTGGAGCAGCCCTGGAGGCCGAGGGACCTGCTGCAGGACCCTGGCACAGGCCCCACTGGCATAGGGCCAGCCTGGGAGGCCCAGAGGGGCCGGCTGCAGCGTGTGGGCTCAGGTATGCATGGCCGGGGCCTGGCTGCCCAGAGGAGGAGCAGGCATGCCCGGTGAGGGCTCAGTGTGGGCGGCCGCCACCCCGTGCACCTTCAGCGCACCCTGTGCCTACTCCCTCATGCAGGATGGGCAAGGAAGTAGCTCTGCCAGGGATGCCCAGGCCTGCCGGTGGTGTCTCCCCTTCTTGTAAAACACAGCAGGGGGGCCCAAACCCGCCCCCATCCCCAACCACAACTCTGTCAGCGGACTGAAAAAATATGCATTTCACGCCCTGAGGCTGTTGGGATTATGGGGCTTCCCAGCAAGCCCTTCCTTCATGGACCAGAGCACAGGCTCAAGCCCCACCCTCCCGCAGGCTCCTCCCCCGGCTACGTAAGAGCGGCTGCGGCTCCAGCCTGCCAGGTGGCCTCCCGCTTCTCAACCATGTTAGGTCTCATCGACCTCCCCAGTAGAAATCAGTAACAATATTGTAGCTTTTGCTTTTATTCTTTTTCCCTTTGCACCCACTTCCAGTAACACATCTCTCCACAAGTCCCTTGGAGGAGTCCCTCTCTTGCCTTCAGCCTGTATGCCTTAGGTAGGGCCACGAGGGCCCCAAACTGCTTAGCAGCCGTATGCTAACCTTCACCACGGTGATTTATTCAAAAATTGTCTCTGACCAGCTTCCGTGTTCAGGCTCAAGCCATCAGGGCAAACATAAACGGTCAGATCAGAAGCTGAGAGCATGTAAGAGCTGGAGCTGCAGCAGCCACTTTGCAGGCCTGAGGGGTGGAAAACCAAAAAGCATGCTCAGCCCTAGGAGGGTTTTTCCCTGGATTCGGAATCAGAAGGAAAGAGCAGATGGCAACAGGATGGGGTGAGCATCCCTGCGGGAGAGCATGGAAATTATGGGGAGCTATGGCTTCCACGAAGCAGATACCACAAGTAGAGCACAGCCTAGAAGGAGAGACTGAGTGGGTGACACACCGAGATCCCTGGAGAGGTAAGGAGGAGCCCACACCATCCCGCCCCCATCCGAGGCCTCCTGAGACCCCTAGTGACCTTACGACCCTGGCACCACCGCTCTGCACTTCTTGCCTGGGTTGGCGGCCCTACCTGAGAGCTCTTGGTCCGGGGAAGGCCTGAGAATCTGAATTCCCTACACATGCACAGGTGGTGTGACTTCGACCACAAGGGGACCCAGCCTGGAGCCATGGGCTCGGCCAACCCAGGCATCAGAGCCCTGGCCCATCTGCAGGGGACAGCTCTTCCTACTGGTGCCATCTCCTCCCTGTTCACAGGATGCTTCTGAGGATGGCAAGGGAGGGGGCAGACAGGAAGCGACCCCGCCCCACCCCTCCCCTCCTCTCTCCTTCACGGTGTCCTGAGCTGTCCCCAGGCGGGGCTAGTTTCCACCTGTGTTCTCAAGACTCATCGTCCCTTCCTCCGTGACAACACCCAGTGGGGAGGCAGCATCAGGGACAGGGGGTGCTGAGCAGGGACAGGGCCATGCAACCAAAGAACTCAACTTTAAAGGCAGCGGCTCAGGCAGGGACGGCGCCCCCCGCAGCCCACGCGGCAGGGGACAGGCTGGTAGCTTTGAGCGCGGCCCATCCCAAGTGCCTCCCCACGGCTCGCCGCCACTGCGCTGTCTCAGTGCCAGCTTTGATGTGTCACGTCAGCAGCAGGGTCTTCTGGGCCACTTCTCCAGGCCCTGCCAAGCTGTCTTAGTGGGAATCAGATGCCCCTGTGCAGAGCTCACCCCCTCCTCCTGCCCAGCCCTCTGCCAAAGCTTGGCTTTTCAGGAAGAGCTGGGGACAGGTGGGCAGAGCCAAGGAAGGCCCAGTCCCAGGTGCCAACACTAGCCCGAGCCTGCCAGGAGGCCCAGCAACACACCCTTGCCCAGAGGCAGGCTGTCTGCTGGCCCTGCCTGCCCAGGTGGCGTGCCCGGTCCTGAGCCCTCACGTGGGCTCACTGGTGTCCCCATGCATGGTTCTGTGCATGGCTCTGCCCCCGTGGCCTGAACTTCACACTGCAGTGCCCTGAGCCTGCACTGCCTGTCCAGGCCCCACGCTTGGGGGCCTCGCGTCCCTTGGTCCCCTTGATCCACAGTATGGACTTTGGAAGTGGAGTGGGGAGAGCCAGAGCCCAGCCACCCTGCTGCACCCCTGGCCTGTCACCCAGCCCCAGGGGCTACCCAGAGCCCCTCTGTGACATCCTGCATTGTCAGCACAGGTGATGAGCTGGTGGCAACCAGCTCCTGGGACCCGGACACGACACAGAGGCAGAAGTTTTCTGGGACAGGGATGAGAGGCAGGGAACAGCGTGGAAAGAAGGGAGCAGAGGGGGCAGCCATGAGCTGGGCTGGGCTGGGGGTAGCCAAGGAGCCACTGGGTACAACGTTCCTGTTGGTCTTCCTGCTGCCCTGAATCCTGGTGGAGCTTCCCCTCCTCCTGGTGCCTCCTGGAGCCACAGGCTGGTGGGTGGGGCTGCAGGGCTGACAAGACAGTGGTGGGCTTGGAGCACGAGCTGAAGGTGGGCTGTGGTGAGCTGACTGACTGACGGGCACCAGCTGACTGGGGCCGCGTGGTGCTGGGTGTGGAGGGCCCGCCGGGGCTCTGCCCGCAGCACAAGAGGAGAACTGGAGGGGAGGCGGTGCTGTGGGCTCTGCGGCAGGAGCGAGTCACGCTGGCTTTCCTGACAGGAACTCAGCTGTTCTCATCTTCGGAGGCACTCGGGTCCTCACCGTCCCTGAGGGTGGCTGCGGTTCTTTTCTTTCCAGGGTACCTCCAGTCCTTGCCGTGAGCATCACTCCCCAGCTCCAGGGCAGACCCCTCAGGTGCTGGCATGGATCCCTCCTGCCACTGGCGCAGGCCTTAGCTTCCCCCACCGGCCTCTGGGCCTGCCCAGCACAGGTGCTTGGCGCAGACTCACATGGGCCACCGCCGCGGGCTCCAGGCCCTCCGCTGGATTCTCTGGGTCTCTGGGGTGCGGACAGAGCTCCTGCACGCTTGCACTTGACTCTCTGGGTGAATGTTGCAAGCCGATAAATCCTGTGTGCTGTTAAATCTGCTCCCTTACAAGCTCTGACACAACATGGGCTTCCACGGCCTTTGTGGGCCCTGGCTCTTGTGTGCAGACACAGGTAGGTTGGGGACTCTGGTCCTTCCAGGCTTCTGGGATTCCTCAGCACCGGGGGCATCTGCGCTGGAGCAGATCTGACATCTGTAGAGGGTGAGTGGAAAGAGGAGCTAGGAAGGACCCAGCTTCGGGAAGGTAAGCCTGCTCCTTGGCATCTCGCCAGCCTCCCAAACTAAGGCCATTTATTCACTCAACAAACAGGCTATTTCTGCTCCTATGCAATTTCTTTCCAGCATTTGAGTCCCCTGCTTGGCAGTCAGAAGCACTAACTGCAGTACCAACTCTGTCAGCAGCGGGGCTGGACTTCCTTCCCCAGGGAGGGCTTCTCCATGCTGCCTCTTGGCCCTGTACTAAAGGAGCAGAGAGGCCGCTGATTCTCACGCGTCACCACAGCTGAGCGCCCCGGGACCAGGCGGCTTCTGATCTGCAAGCACTAGTGCCTCCCGCAGGACTGTGGTGGCACCCTGCACCCACTCTTCCCACAGCAGAGGCCCAGGGCCGGGGCCTGAGAGTGAAGCTGGCAGCTGGTCCTCACCAGGGCTGACCTCACCTGGGCCTGCGGTGCAGAAACGGGTCCTGGGCTCTAAAGGGGCCACAAGGGCAGAGGAGGGGTCCCAGCAGGGACTGCAGCCGTGCTTTGATGGCTTTCACCCTGTACAGGGGGCCACAATGCCTCCAGGAAGAGCCACGGCACCAGCATCTCAGCCAGGTCATGTGGAGGGAAGAGCTTGGCTGTAGCCAGTGTCCTTGTCACTGTCATTGTTGTCATCATAGCTGAAGCCCTGACCCCGAGAAGCAGGTGGGCTGTAGAGGAGGCTGGGAACTGTGCTCCATGGGAGACGCTCGTCACCCTGGGGAGACACGGCCCAGGACCACAAGCCAGCTGTCTCCAGACTTAACCCGGCCCAGATGCTTCTGGGCCACTGGTGTCTCTGAGGTTTGCAAGTGCACGCTTATTTCTGGGGCTGTGAACCGAAGCAGCGCCCAGCTGGGATACACACAGGCCGAGAGGTTGCAGCTCTCATGTGGCGGCGGCGGCAAGGCAGGTGGACGGGCAGAGGCCGGGAGCTGTCCAGGGCGGCGTCCCCACAGAGGCACATGGCTTACTCCCGGCTGAGGAAGCACGGCTTCCTCTGGCTGCTCCTAAGCTGGCAGTGGGGGCCGAAGCTAGGAAAGCTGGGAGTGATGCGTCCATGTCTGATCACACTGGACAGAGGGCTACAGGACGAGCCTCTGGCCTCCCGGGGCATCGGCAGAGACCCTCAGGCTCCCTGTGAGTCTGATACAGCAGGGGGCTTCCCGGGCGGGGCGTGGGGTGATCGGGCGGCTTTCCGGGCCACCACTGTCGGTGACGGGCTGCCGGAGCCTGTGGTCAGTCACTTCTGCGTGTGGTCTGGCATCTGTACGTTCGCTGCCTCAGGAGCTGTGGGATGACAGTTCTCTGGATGGAAGGAGTCGCAGTCTGCATTTGCTTTAATGTCACTGGGCCATGTGAGTGGGTGAGGGCAAAGTGTGGAGCTAGGCTGCAAGCGGGTGCGAGGGTGCAGCGAGGTGCTGGGCCGTGGGGTTCCCACAGACCCTTTTGCGGGGTTGTTTCTTTTTTTGGAGACAGGGTTTTCACGTAGCTCAGTCTGGCCCCGCAGTCACATGCAGCCCAGGCTCGCCTGGAACTCTCAGTGACCCTCCCGAGCGCTGGGATTACAGGTGTGTGCCACCAGCCCCGGCACTGCTGCTTCTCAACAGCTTTGTGACATTTCATCGTAAAAAGTGAAGCCAGGACTTGAAAACTGTTCAAAACAAGAAGGAGCCAACTGAGCCACCAGGGAGTGGACTGGGGAGGGCTTGCCGGGACGGCTCTGGCTGGGCTGCTTCCTGGCACCCCGGAGCCAGCTGGCCACACAGAGGGTGCCCGGAAGCACCTGGGAGCCTCCCGGAGCTGCCCGCTGTGGAGACTTCTTGGTGAACACCAGCGAGACGAGGGGACTGTGGTCTGGGGCAGGGCCAAGACTAGCAGGAGGAAAGGAGGCGTCAAGGAAGCACGGGTGCTCATAAATAGAGCTATAAAGACTCCAACAAGCCAGGGATCCGAAGACGGCATTTAATGAGAAGCCCGGCCAGCCAGCTGTGAGCATGCGGACGCGGTCGTCAACACACACCGCCTCCCCTTCAGGCCGGCCGGATCCTTGGTGAGGTCCACCCTCACCTTTCATGTTCCCTCCACCCGGGCACCTGGACCGGGAACCCCAGCAAGGCACCCTTGCAAACTCTTGGATGTGTTTGGAGCTAGGCTGGTAATTAGGGTAATGAAGCCCAGGAGGAATTTCTTTAACTCCCACCACCTCTCAGCTGACTTTCACAAATGGACGAAGTCTCTCTGCCTGGAAAGGAGCCGGCCCAGCCCTCGCAAGAAGCAGCCACGGCGAGACCGCTTCACTACACCACACCCCGATGTGCTGTTGTCTCTGAGTTACAACCACAGCTCTGAGCTCCGCCGGGCTTCATCCCCTTGTCCAGGAGAGTAGCCTGCACCCCACAGGGGGCATCGAAAGCCTCTGTGTACCCCACCAGAGGTCAGGCCCCAGACGCCAGGCCGGATCATGTCCCGAGGCCTTGGTGCTGCGCTGTGGGTGGTCTGAACTGAGAGCCCTGGAGCCAGGATGGAGTGGAGGCCTTGTGTGGCCAAGAGCACAGGAAAGGATGACAGGCGGGAGGGGGGTGGGGGGGCAAGAGACCGTGCCAGAGTCTTGGCTGCAGAGGCAAGGAGCTGGGAACTTTGTCCACTCCGAGCAAGTCACGGTCCCCCTTGGGCCCCCTCTGCAGCCACCTTTCACAGAGGCCACCAGCAAACCTGGAAACTCACTTCCAAGTCGTTTGAGGAACCACACCCACACGGGGGCAGGGCGCAGCCATCAGATGGAGACAGAGGCTGGCGGGAGAGCCCAGGCCCCGGGGGGGGGGTACGGCCGGGACGGATGCAGACGGGCAGACGGGCCTCGCCAGCGCGAGCACCTGCTGGGCGCCTCGGCTCGCACCTGCGCTGCTGCGGGGCGCCGGCTGCCCTGCATGGGGGCGGCTGAGGTTTAGGTGCCGTCCATCGCCTTCCCGCACCAGCGTGACATCAGCTAGGTCTGGGTGGTGCGACAGGCACATTTAGAGCCCAGCTCACGCCTGGTCGTCCTGTCCTCAGCTGTGTCCCCACAAACAGAAGCAGCCTGGGCCTCAGGGCAGAATGCTGAAAGGATTCAGCCTTCCCTTAGGCCCCAAAGAGAACTGGGTAGGAAAAGGCGTGACAGTTTGGATGTGCTGGGGCACGCCTACAGGCCCAGCACTTTGGGAGGCTGAGGCGGGAGGCTCAAGTTCAAGTGCGGCCTGGGCAATTTATCAACTTAGTGAGACCCTGTCTCTAAATTTAAAAAAAGAGGTAGGGATGTAGTGTAGCTCAGTGTGAAGGCCATGACTTTGATCTCATGGAGACAGAGAGAGAGAGAGAGAGAGAGAGAGAGAGAGAGAGAGAGGAGGAAGGGAGGAAGGAAGGGAAGAGAGAACAGAAGAGAAGAGAGAAGAGAAAACAGAATACGATGGAAGGGAAGAGAGGGGAAAAAAAGAACACACAAGCAGCCAACATGCCCCACCTCTAGTTCCCCTTCGAGGGTGTTCTGTGAACTCAGAGCTGGTGGGGCTTTGGAAACAGTGGATGAGAGAAGCCTATAAAGAGGCCCCGGGCGGGGACGGGGGCACCTTAGCTTTCGCTAGCTCCAGGGCTGGGCTGTTGTGCTGGCCACAGCTGGAGGACGGCCCTCTACGGCCCAGCTCAGCCCCACCAGGGCCACCACCGTGGGATGGAGACCTCCGCTCCCCTCTGCCACCCACCGTGTCCTCAGCTGACACCGGGAAGAACAGGAGCAACCTGGACTCAAAGACTCCCTGGGGACCAGCAGAGCCCACGGCTGTTGAGGTCCTTCCCACGAGGCCATGGGCCTCCGCCAGCACCCTCTACCCACCCTAGCCTGAGCCAGGCTTGGGACGAGCCAAGCAAGCGCGGGCTGCGTGTGCCTGGTGGGGAGGACGGGGAAGCTCAGCCGCCCTGCCCGTCCCTGCATCCGGCCGAGCCTACCTTGAACTTCTGGTAGTGCTTCCTGGCCTCAGCAGCCACGGGGGACAGCTCTCTCCCTAGCAGGCTCCCCCTGGTGAGGAGGTTCGTGCTGAGATGCTTGCAGAGCCACATGGCCTGAAGGAGGAAGCGGGAAGGGAGACATTGGTGGCTGGCTCCCCCGGGGCTGGATCCTCCCGAGCCTCCAGCCAAGGCCGGCTGGCCACAGGGAGGCTTCACGTCACGGACGCCACACAGCACGGCCGGCATGCCTGTCTGCACCCCTCTCCCACCCGCTGCCAGCTGCACACAGGCCGGAAGCCCTCTGACGCTCTGAGTACGAGTTTCTAATCCAAGGAAGGCGTACAGGAGGCCAGGTGGGGACAGTAAATACAGCCACAGCCCACGCTCCATTCGGTTTTTCTTAAGCACTGGGAGTGGGCATGGCCTGGCCCATCTGCGTAGATGGGAAGCTCTGTGCTTGGCTCCCTCGTGACCGCCGTGTACCACACGGAGGCGAAGACTGAATCTCAGGGAATAGCAAGGTGTGAGTGTTCTGGGCATGGAAAGGACGCCAGGGAGCACTGTGGCACCGGCTGATTCTGACGGCCCTGCCTGGTTCCCTGGGCTGGGCTCACACACCAGAGCCAGCTACCAGGCCCAGGCCCATCCGGGAGACGAATTCGGTGGCCCTGCTCCCACTGGCACTCGCCGAGACAAGGACTTGGGACAGAGCCTGCTTTGCTTTGCTAGCAAATTGCTCCTAGCAGTCAGGAAGAGCTTGAACTAGGAAATGCCACCCAGCTGGCCCTGAGGGTCACAAGACAGGAGCCCTCTGCTGGCCTGGGAGGGCAGTGCAGAGCCTTTTCCAAACCGGTTCCAGGGGGCCATCCTGGGAGACGCCAGGACCTGTCCTGTCAAAGCAGCCCGTCACGTGAAAAAGTGCAGGCAGCTGCTGCACCCAGGGGTGCTAGGTGCGGAGAGGGGTGGAAGCGGACAGCCCGGCACTGAGGCGCCATACAGAAAACCTGGGCAGACAGACGGAAGACGGGTGGACAGACAGACTCATCCATGACAATTAACAGAGCACGAGGCTACTCAGAAAGCAAAGCAGGCGCGGGCTGCTCTGGGCAAGGGTCGGCCATCTCACTCCATCGAGGGCTCCAGTGGGGACTACAGCACTGCCACTGGGCATTAACCGCCATGACCAGCACCCACGCCAATAGCTCTGTCGCTGAGAGTGCGCCACGGTGCTCACTGTCAGCCACAGAGTCCCACCTTGGGTGGCCACTGTGTTTTCAAAGGTGAATTTTCTTTAAAATGGAGAGAGAACAAAGAAGATACGCAGAGGTGGCAAAATGAGTGTGAAATCTGGGGATTGGGCACAAGAGAATCTAGGACACAGCTTCTGGGCTTTTCTGATTGACTGAAATATTTCATAATTAAAAATCTTACTGTCCCACACCAAACACCTCTGGACCCAGCCCCCACTCCCTCCCCTGCTTCCTCTTCCTCCTCTTCCTGCTCCTCCTAGAAATGTGACTAGAAGTCCAGGCCTGTGAGGATCCCATTCCTGTGGGCAGGGCGATGCTCAGGAACGATACCCCAAAGTGTTGAAGGAATACTTTTCTCTGAGTGGTCAGGAAATTGCATTTTGTTTTTCATATTTCCCAGTTTTTTCTTATGAATAGATGCTGGCTTTTGTAATAAGAAAATAAAAAGAGAGAAAAAAAAAAAGGAGAGGAAAAGGAGAAGAGGAGCCTGCTTAGCTGACAATTCGCCGCGAGGCAGGCGCCTGCCCGCTGGAGCCGGGATGAGATATTACAGCTTTACCACACTTAATACCGTGCACTTACGATAGTTGTTTTCCCCGAGGCAGGTGGACCTAATATTATGATCTTCGGCACTGCGGAATAAAAAGATTTGAATGTCACCATTCAGTAAGACAAAGCAGCCTCCTACGTCTGCGGTACTCTGGGTGTATTTATTTCTCTCCTCCCCAGATTTCATTTCTGCCAGTGACACGGCCATTTGTCACCCGGCGGCTGGGACCCTCGCGCCATGGAGTGCGTCCTGGGCGAGCCAGGCAAGCGATCACCGAGATGGTTTATTTGTCTGTCTCCACGGGGACGCGGACGCGGTAACTCGTTTGCCAAACGAATAAATATCAAGAACGATCGGGATTCAAATGCCATAAAGTATTTTAAACAGAGACTTTGTCTCAGGGATACTCTCTCAGATAAAGTTGTATTTTATGTAAATTGACCCGCAAGGCTATTTTTCTTCATATTTATGCCTGTTTATTTAGCAAATTGGATTGCCCCCCTCTTGTACAGAGCTAAATAATGGCAAAAAAAAAAAAAATGGGAGTCTGTGAGCCAGATTTATAAAACCCAAGATATGAAAGTCTTTGTTTTTGAATACCAACATTTCTATGCAAATGGGAAAAACTGGCTGCTTGTTTGTGGCTAGATGTCCCAGCGCTGGGATGGTCCCGGCCCCTGCAGAATTCCAAAAGCAGCTCCCAGACTGCAGAACGGGCTGTGGCTGGGAAAAAGACCACAACCTAAGCAGGGGCGGGCAGGAGGGCAAAGCAGCTGGTCCCAAGAAGGCGACAGGGTGCTCGGTGTGCGCAGACCAGCCCGCAGGACAGCGTGCTGAGTGCCGTCCCGCCAACGCCCTCCCTCTGCTCCTGGAACGTGGCTCACGTTAGCCTGGCCCTGCTCCTGGGAGGCGCGGTGCTGAGCACATCCACACCCTGTCCAGGAAAAAGCTGGCGAGTGCAGGATGACCCCCGATCCACTCCGTGTGCACTCACAAAGCACCCCAGTGGGAAGCCCACTGCGCTGGAAGCAGCCGCGCAGAGTGGGATGGGCCACAGCAGGGTCAGCGAGTGGTGGAGACCAGGAGTGAGAAGACCCTGCGGACCCAGCTCCCTGATTCCCTCCGTGTCCCCTGCGACCCCAGGGCAGGACTTGTAGGTGGAGGGCCAGGTTGTCCTGGTAGTTCTCACTGCCCTGCCCGCAAGGGCCTCTACTAGCTGGGCCCACAGCACCACCCAGGCCCCAAACGGTGCCCTCCTGGCCTTTCTCACCCCTCCTGTAGTGTCCTCCTACACTCCTCCCGTCACCCTGGTTCCCCCTCAGCAGTGTCCTGCTTGCCCCAGGCCACACAGCAGCCACCTGGGCCCAGGTTGCTCCCCTCCCTGAGATTCAGCGCTGCTCCTGAGCGGGGCTGTCCACCACACAGCCCGCAGCTGCCCACTTCCACCCTGGCGAGTCTCAGACTGCTGGAGAACGTCGCCCCGAGGAGCCCCGCGGCAGCCCCGGGGGTGGACTCCTCCTCTGTCCTAGCTCTTTCTGCAGCCGCCGTCCCACCACCTTACCCAGGGCGCCCTCTGCTGGTCAGCATTCTCAGCACAAACAGCCAAGTCAGGCGCTGCGGAGTCCACATCCAGCAGCAGATCCATGACTAAGGCCTGCACTGGCTGGCAGCCCGGCCGGCCCGGGTCACCCCACCAGGAATGACACCTAAAGTGAGGCTGCCCAACAGTCCGGGGAAAGAGGCACCATAGCGTATGTCCACCATGCTGCACCACGTGCGCACGGACCCCAGAGCTACCACGGGCAGCCACACTGCTGCTGCCACGCAGGCAGCTGGCCCTGCACATCCCCAGGGCGAGGTCACCGGCAGGCAGCTCAGGTCGTAGGCTGGGTCTGTGCCATCAGGGATGCCAGGGGCGCATTTCTAGATTCCGGGGTGGAAGCCAGGTGGGGATTCAGGGCCAACATCTGCCGGGGGCCTGGACACAGGGCCCAGGCTTCCAGGGGCCTCCAGCTGCACATGAGAAGCAGCAGCAGGTGGGAAACAGGCATGGCGGCCGAGGCTAGAAACCAGGTGGTGTTGGGGACACCCAGCCAGGTGAGAGGACAAAGTGCGGTTGGACTGGGGTGGCACAGGCTTGAAAGGCAGCGGTGCTGTGGGGTGGGGTCTTGCTCAGGCCACAGAGAAGACCTGAGGCTGGGGGGACATGGGCTCCAAGGGGGCTCACACAGGCCCTCACTGTCTCAGAGCCCCACCCAGCCCAGCCGGCCTTAGGGTGTCAGAGCTCAAGACTACAGCAGAGCCCTGGTGACCCAGGCAGCTTCCAAGGGCCACGTCATCTGGGCCACACGGCGGAGCGCAAGACGGCAGGGGAAGCCCTCCCCTCGCAGGCTCCTGTAAGTGGCACCCAAATGGTACACATCTCCGAGAACACTTTAAAAGAAGAACATCCATGGCCTTTCTCCCCACCTAATTTCTAGCGCTCATTTATGTGATTAATTTCAGTTTTTAGAATCTAACACCTTGAAACTCCAGCCCTGCTCATGAGTAATTATTTATAAACAGTGTCATAGGAGGCTGCTTCACTGCCAAGAGTAATCAACCTCCTCCAACCACTTCAAAGGAAATCAAAGAACCTTTCCATCCACCGAGCCTTTTGAGGTTTAACCAGGAGCATGATTTAAAATTCACAAGAAAACCCTTAGGTATTGGAGCTCTAATACACAGCTTTCCTGGACAAACGTTTGATAAGAAACGAAACACACCATTATATCCACCACCGCCTGCTTTAATATTGCCCAGGGCCACTGTAAATGCTCACTTTGTACTAAATCTGCTTTTTTGAGCGGGGAAGGGGCCACCTGCCCAGGGCCGTGGCTCCTTCACTCCCTTCGGTGCACACCCAGGTGGGATGAGTCTGGAACCAGGGATGCGTGGGTTCATGTCTACCTGTGCGCAGTAGGAGTATGTGAAGGGTGAGGTCCCAGCTCCAGGGAGCCCGGGCTACCTCGAGGCTGGAAGGAGGCACTGTGATCAGGCTGCTCGGGGTCCCTAAGGCATAAACTGAGGCTTCTCTGCACTCCCAGGAAATTCGAGAAAGCAAACCACCAAGCTATCCCAAGAGTCAGAGAGCTGCCCAGGCCTGGGAGTGGAACAAATTTACCCTCTAAACAATGTTTATGGGGACCCAAGGACTGTGCCTTTGAAACCTGGCTTCAGCCAGGCAGCTCAGACAGGAGGCACCCCTGGTGGGTGGGCGGGGGGGGGGCACCCTCCTTCCCTGCAACAGCAAGGTGGAGAGGAGGAAGGAGAGGCTGCGTGGGGGCAGAAGCAGGGGACAAAGTGTCGTCCCGTAGACCCTTCAGAAATAGCTTGCTGACTGAATCGGTCCCAGGTCCTTTCTGCCTCCAACAAAGACTTGGATGAGACAAAGCCACAAACGGTGCCAAAAGCTCATTTGAAAAATGAGAGGAGAAGGGGTATAGGAAGCACTAGTTCTGCACAGAGAACTTGAGCCAAACAAAGGGAAAAGGGTAAAAGAGCAACCTGCGCCCAGCAGACGCAGAATGGGCTCCTGCGAGGGCTCGCGCCGCCGGCTCCCAGTGGCCCCTGGGCGCTTTCATGCCGCCTACTTCTCGCGGGGACCTGAGAGTTATTTGGCGCTACCCTGGGATCTTGTAATTGACAGCTCTCGCTATTTGCCCAGCCAGCCTTGCCACACCCTGTCTCCTACATCAGAAGGGACCATCACAGGGGGAGGAGGCAGCTGTCCAGCTGCACCAGCTGCACACAGCAAGCCAGGAGGAGGGTGTCGGAGATTAACTATCCTGGAGCAGGGGGTGATGGGACATTGAAGCCGCCTTCTGCAGACAGCAGCGAGATCGTGACACAAAGAGAAGACGACTCTGTTGTACATGTCAAGCTCGGGCATTTAGAGGCTGGGGCCCTAGAGAAGCCTGGGGGTTAGCAGTCTAAGAACACAGAGCAGGGCTCAGCATGGTGGTGCACATCGGAGGCTGAGGCAGGAGAATCGCTGTGCATCTGAAGCCAGCCTGGGCTGCATGGTGAATTCAATCCAACCCGAACTACATAGCAAGACTGTCTAAAATCAGTCAATCAATCAATCAATCAAACAAACAAACAGAACAGGGCAGCTATGCCATAGGCAGCATCTGCAGACCAATAGCAGAAAGGGCCACGGCAACCCCAAGTGTTCATTATCAAGCACAATGTGTAATTCAGAAAATCTGGGGAATGGATATGACGAAAATGTTATATGCATGCATGAAAACTGAGACCAAGTATCTTGTGAAACTAATTGGCATTAATAAAAAGGATATTGAAACAAGAAAAGCAATTCCATTAAGCTTGGCACCACGAGAAAGTGCCGCACCATCTGCTAGGAGCATTAGGGGCTTCTCATTCTCTCGGTGGTCAGTGACTGGCTCCCTTGGAGCTGGCCAGGCCTCCATTCCAGGCCACTGCACATACCCACTTTACAGGTGAGGAAACTGAGGCCACACGAGGGCTCGGGTCTTACCATCCCGTTGCAGTCTGAGGACAGGAGGACTGTAGCTCCAGAGTGAGCGCCTCGCTGCTCCCCTCGCTTTTACTCGCCTTTCATTTCCACTTTGGCCTTATGGGTACTTTTGCCTGTCGCCTTTCACTTTCGTCTGCTTTCTGTACCCACGGTGCTGGCGGTGCTGGCCGCATGAGTGGGTGAGCCAGACCTCGTGGACCGAAGCCCTGGTCCCAACCAGCCTGAGGGCTGGGAGAGAGGAGGCAGAGACTTCTTCCTCCCATGGAGCCTGGCTCTGCAGCAATGAAGACCACTGGTGGGAAGGGCAGGATTAGGGGCCATCCTGCAGGGCAGGTGGGGGCAGAACCTCCTACCTGCACCCCATAATAAGCAGATCCTCTAAGCGGGGGATCACTGCTCTACTTCCCCGGATGTTTCAGCACTGAGCAGTCCTCACTGGACCATGAAATGCCTACAGGTGCACCTGTTCCTGCCTAGCTGGAGACTCGGGACAGGACACGATTGGCACTCACCTTACCTCCCCGTGTGGGTCCACACAGTGCCCTGAACTGAAGCAGCCCCTCACTCTAGTTCACCAGTGTCAGGCCAAGACCCCCAGGACCTGCAGCAGGGCGGGCAGCTGCGCACATCGCAGGTCTGCAGGCTCCTCCTTCTCATCGCTTTCCTTTGAACAGTCTGGCATCTGGGCCTCTCCAGAGGGCATCCCAGGCTCTGGGATGATGCTCTGGGATGCTGACAGTGCCAGTGCTCCAGCAGAGGAAGCGTCCAAGCACCGGACGCCGGTGTGGAGCCAACTCTCAGAGGGCCAGGACGGGCCTCTCGCTGGGATGGAGCTAGAGGCGCTGCTAGCTCCTCCTGCTTCTGGCTCTGGCCTTGGGTCTGGCCGACCTGAGGTTTGGGGAGCTCTGGAACTCATTAGCAGGCACCGATAATGAGACCATCAGGAAGGCCCTAGTCCTTGCCTGTCGAGGTAGACCAGAAGCCCAACTTACACCTGACAAGTGGAGTGATCAGAGAGTTTAGACCCAACAAGCAACATCAGCCAGGGCAGGCAGAAGCATGAATAATTGATTCTGTGGGCCATTCTGAGGTTTGCATTTTAATAACTTGGCAAGAGAATTTTTATCAGTCACTCTCCAAAAGAAATGAAGGCATTTTTCAATTAACCACCTCTGGTTGTCAAAGCCTCTCGACACCTTGCCCTGACACAGGTAGGACAGAGGGTGGGGTAGGACCTTGGAGGAAAGGGGGGAGGGGAGAGGAGGAGGACAGGCTCACCGCGATCGTTGTCCCGATGCAGGTGCTCGATCATGAAGGGAATGGGGTCCTGGGGCTGGTGGATCAGGAGCTGCTCCAGCATGCTCTGCGGGTGAGACAGGCGCCTGGGGGGTGAGTGCTTGCTCCTGGTCGCCGTGGGTGCCAGCTGCAGGCCTGCCTCTCCCCTGCACCCAGCACCCCCACAGCTGGCCTCTGCTGGGGTCTCCACAAGCATAGGAATGGGGGGTTCTGTGCGTGCCCCGTGCTCCTGGTTCAGAGCACGCAGCCCCAAGGGCCCCTCCCCAGTTCCTTTGGTACGTCCCTCTGTTCTCCTCCTTCGTCACTGGCCATCTTGGGGCCTGTTCCCTCAGCCTGGACTGCATCTCTTCATTCCCTTGTTGGCTGCCTTCTCTTGGGTCCTCGGTCTCCAGAGGAAACCATCTTTCTGATCATACACATTGGGTAAATGGTCTGTCTGTCCCCGGTCCTCACACACCCCCATCGCCCCCCCCCCCGCTCTTTCTCTTGCCTTGCCCCTGCTGGCCCAAGTGTCACTGCCCACCCCAAGCAAGTCACAGGTTCTGTGGGCCTCACCATCAGCCCAGACAAACCAGCACCTAGGGCCTGGCACAATCACAGTAGTTGCCCAGAGCAGATTTTGCGGGGAGAACATGGCCACGGGACCCTCCAGAGGTGGGGAGGGGACAGCATTAGCAGCCAAATATCCCAATAGTCCCGGGGGGCTCTCTGTCCATTTCATCTAAAGTAAGCCTATCAGGAGAAAGCAAGTGGGACGGGACGGAGAGATGGGGAAAGATGAAGAGGCAGTGTGTACAAGGACCAGCTCCCCACTGGGAGGCTGATCACGACTTTCTCCCGCAGACCAGGCCTAAGGGGAAGCCGTGGAAGGCCAGGCGGGAGGGGGCTGTAGCCACTGCGGGCAGTGGGCGGGCGTGTGGGGAAAAAAAGGCAAGCACTATCCCCAGGGAGGTTCCGATTCTGGCCCCTTTCCAGTCCCACCAGCCAGTCCCCCCACTTGGAAGCCTCAGTTTCCCTACCTGTCCACTGGCATGATTGGAATAAATTCATACTTGTGTACCAGTGGGGCTATATTACAAAATTATTTTATTATTTATTTATTATTTAATTTTGGGACCAGGAATCGAATCCAGGCCCTTGTGCCAGGCAGGCGCTGTGCACAAGATGATTCTAGACTGCTTACTCGCGACGAAGGGATTCCATGTGTAATGTGTATGAGAAAGCTGAGTGTACGAAGCCTCTGAACTCAAAGGTATTGCTCAGGGTGAGACCGAAGGAAGCTAATTTCTATGAAGCGGGTTGCTCTCAAGAAACGATTAGGAGTGATTGTGTGAATCCATACATCTGATAAAATGCTGCAGAACCATGTACATAACAGCCACAAAAATGAGTGGGAGTGAAAGAGGTCGAATTCCAGGGAAGGCTTGAGGTCTAGGGGACAGTGCTGCGCACACATCTCTCTCCTGGTTCTGATTGTTGCCACCGGGGGAGGAGCCTGGGGAATGGGCCGCCTGGAAGGGCACGCCACTCTGTAACCTCAGAGTCTAACACTTTCATAAAAAATGTCAATGCAAACCAGGTGCGGTAGCCCAAGCCGGGGTCGCGGCACTGAGAAGCTCAGGCGGGAGGACCGTGAGCCTGACGCCAGCCTGGGCTAGGTGGCAATTTCCAGGCCAACCTGACCTACACTGTGTGGCCTTGTCAAACGACCCTGAAACGCCCAAATGACACAGGGCCGGAAATACCTACGGAAACGCTTTCCTGGGCAGCCCCTCCATCCTCCCACTGAGAGAAGCAGCCCACTCCGCCTGGAAGCTCCCCCACCCGCCCTCGGCTTAGGTCGTGTGTTTGCACCGAGCTGCTCTAGCAGTTTTAGGGCTTTTGCACTCGGTAGTTATCACTTTCCAGAACCATGTTTGCTGGCAACTCGGGTTTCTCCGTCTGCGCTCAGCTCCGCAGAGCTCCGCTCACAGCGTCACACAACACGGGGATCCCTTACGTGGGCAAGTGAGGCTGGAGAGGGGGTGTACTCGGAGAAGCAGGCCAGATGCCAGAAACTGAGCTCGGCTCGCTCGTGCTCAGAGCGTCAGGGGCCCAGAGGGCATCCAGCCCAGTTTATGAAAGCCTCAGCCTCCCGCGGTTGCAGAAGGGAAGGATCGGAGGCAGGTGGGGATAGGGCTTTGGCTAAGGTCGCACAGCCTGGGACCCCGCCGGAGGGTCTGAGGGCTGCCCGGACCGCCAGCACCGCCCGACCCTGAGGAGGCGGGCCGCGGGGAAAGTGTTAGTTAGGGAGAGGCCACCGGCATTTCACAGGTGAGGGGACCGAGGAAAGAAGCGGGTGTTCCAGCCCGTCGGGCCAGCAGGAAGCAGAGCCAGCACCACCACCTCGCGGGCGGCCAGACCAGAGGGCGACTTCAAAGTCCCCTCTGGGTCCCGGTGACACAGTGAGCTGCTTCGCTGCGCACCCCGACACCGCGCGGAGGCGCCCCGGGTCACCTGCATCAACTCGAAGATGTTGTTCGCCTCCCCGTACTGGGGCATCTCTGCAGGGATACGGTGAGGAGCCGAGGTCGCATCCATGTTGCCGACCTTTCCGCACCTTAGCAACTGTGTTGCTAGGGTGCGCGCGGGCGCGTCACCAGCGTGCGGTTTGCTCCTGGGCCCCGCCCCACCGGCCCCGCCCCGAGCGAGCGCCGGCCCCGCCTCGCCCCGGAGCGCGTCTTCCGCTCCCGCGCCTCCCTGGCCCTGCAGCGCCCCACAGCGGGAGCCCTTCTCAGCCCATCAGGTCGCTCCCGGCTAGGCCTCCAGGATCAGAGGGGCCCCTTAGGCAGAGATTCCCAATGACACTGCTTTCTGGGCCTCAGTTTCCCCAACTTTCAAGTGAAGATGGTGAAACGGGGCGGGAGTGACGTCCCGGGACAGATGAGCCCAAACTCGGGAGTGGGGCAAGGCGGCCACGTGACCTGGTTGCCGTGGCACCAGGGTCACAATCAAGCCCAAGGCCCCTCCGAGGCGGCCCCACCCACCCCGGCCGCCTCTAGTCCTGCGGAGGGCCTCCCCCTCCGGCCCGCACACGCACGGAGTCACGCGTGCGGCGGGCGCTCTGGAAACCGAGGCCGCTGCAGGACGAACAAGGGTAAAGAAGGGTGCTGGCGCCACCCCAAGCCCAGGTCGGAACGGGCGGGGGAGAGACGACGGAGCGCCCAGAGGGCTGCGAGGGCCGACGGGTTAGGGCTCAGCGCCTCTGTGCTGCCTGCGGGCGGGAGTGGCAGGGCGAGCCATGAAGGGCTGGCCTGGAGGTCAGCGAGCGCGCTCAGCAAGGCCACGCCTAGGACCAGTCCCCGCTGGGGTCACCCGTCGGGCATCCAGGTGGGATGGGCACCTGTTCCCACTGATCGGACGTGAATTTGGAGATCAGATGCTGAAGATAGTTGGCTGAGACTTAGGACAGGTCATTCTGGGTTTCTTTCCTCAGCAGGTGTCAGTCACCGAGGCGAGAGTCAGCAGGGTCCTCGCTCATTGTACAGATGCATAAACTGAGCCCCAAAAAGGGGAAGAATGATCTCAGGGCCACAGTCAGCGGTGAGCTAGGGCTGACACTACGTGCGCAGTCCCGAGCCCAGAGACAGCCTCTGCGTGAAGCCAGGGGCTGCGTATTCCCCCAAAAGGGCTTCCTCAAAGCGCTCAGGCCTGGTGGCACATCAGACTGCTAAGGCAGGTGGGGAAGAAGGGGAACCTGAACCCCCCAACAAAGGCGGCAAAAACCGAGCCTGCAGTTTGGTTTGCTTCGCTTTCTGGACATTTCTGAAATGACTTGCCTTTCTCCTCATTTATTTTAAGCCCTAGGCACTTTTCATACCATGATTTAATCTTCTTTAGCAGCCTAGAAAAATACAAATCAATTAAAGCCTAAAATGTATCGGGTAATCATTTTTTCCTGCCTCCTCCCCCAGATGGAGAGGTGCCTGTTCCCCTGTGCCTTTCATCCGCACTAATTTGGCGGCAGGGGCCGGCGTTCAAGGGCCGATCACTTTGGATAGCTTATTACAGCCCCTCTCATGACATTCGTGGCGTGCATGTCACAAGTTGCTAGGATCAAGAACCAAGGCGGTTTTGCTCCCAGGGGCTCTTGGGGCCACCAGCCAAGGTAGCGCCGTTTCCTTGGAGAACTTGGCAGCCCCAGGAAGCCCCAAGAGGGTGGCAGGGAGGGGAACACAAAAGACAGCCCTCTGGGTGCTAGCCCTGCTTGCTGGGGGGCGGGGCAGCAAAGAGAGTAGCGAAAGCCAGGCCTGAGGCCTCGTGGAACTGTTCAGATCCCTGGTATTGTGCCCACCTGACCCAAGCCAGTCCTTCTGGTGTCTGTCCTGTTTGTCTCTAAGGAAACGCAGGCAGGGGCTGGGGTGGGGGTGGGGGGTCAGTCAAGAGCCCAGACTGGAAAGGTGGGCGGGCTCAGTGAAGTCCAGGCTTGCCTGCCTCCCAGCTACCTGGTCTCTCCTTGCATCTGATCAGTCGAGGCTGTGGCGAGGACATGAGGTAGGAGTGCCCGAGGGCCCAGGTGTGCAGGGGCCAGCTGTCCTCAGGGCCCCAAACCAGGCTCTTGTGGCCAGCTAGAGCCCCGTGTGAATTAGCCCGTGTAGCTGCAACCACCTCCTGTGGGCTCCCTTCCCGCAGACAGCATGGTCTTGGTCCTCCCTTTGTACGCATCCACTCCTCCCCCACTTCCTGTCCTCCTTAAGGACCCACCTCCCACTCTTAAAGGCCAGTTCCTCCAGGGCAGGGCTTATCTCGTGCAGTACTGTGTCTGTCTCCTTCTGGATGTTCAGTGTGGGCCCAGGGCCTGGCCTGGCCTCTGCCCCCTTCCACACCAGCTCACAGTCCTTCTGCTCCCTCACCCCACCCCCAGCCCCACCTGCTTCCTCTCCACCAAGTGCCCTTCTTTGCAAGCCGGGGTTCCATCCTGGCCCACCCCGGAGACCAAGTCCTCAGTTACCAGGCCTGTAGCAGCAGCTGCCCCTTCGCATGCACAGCTGAGTACCGAAAGCTCTGAGGCCGTCATCTTCACTAGCAGTCACTGACAGCGCTGGCCCATTCTGAGCTCACACCTCCCGCCTGTACCGTTTACCCCAAGGCCCCTACAGCAGGCTAGGACACAGGTGCAGTGACATCCTAAGCTTGCCACAATGGGTGGGCCCACGGGCTGGTGTGACCTCTGGACCACCTCGAGCACTGCCCAGCACAGCGTCGGGCATTGCAGGTGCAGCTGGGCCAGCAGGGCACCCTGCAGACTCCCCGGGAGCCCACATCCGTGCCACTGTGACTTCTCTAGGGCTTCAGCCTGAGCGTCTGTAAGCCCTGTGCCGGGTCAGGGTCAGGCCAGTCGGCTGGGTGCACGAACCGAGCGTCACCCAAAAGCTCAGTGATCAGTATCAGTGTTCGGTGAATTTTTTTTTTTTTTTCCCGGAACCAGGGATTGAACTCAGACCCCTGTGCTTGCGCTTATTCTACTGAGCCATCTCCCTGGCCCCCAGCACTTATTGTCTAAAAATCAAAAGTAATGCCCCAAAATGTAACTGAAGATGGGCTCATCAATTCTGATTTTTCTTATTTCTGATCTTTCCTATTTTTCTTTTACCACTGGCTCCTGCCTGGTCAGGCACACCACTATTATATATTCTATTCATTCCGTATGGATGTTTTCATGTTAATGTTTTAGAAAACTTTCACGGGTAGCTGAGATTTGGGTGTCCTTTTAAATCCCACTCAGAAATGGAGTTCCTCTGTCCCCTGACTTCCTGGAAGGCACACCAGAATCCACTGTGTCATTTCTGCTCCATGGAAAGGGGCCACGGAACGGAGGGGGCAGGTACCCGCTGCAGGCAGAGCTGCTGCGTGCCAAAGGGCAAGGGCAAAGAGGTGGCTGCCCAGCCCAGGGCCAGGCTCAGCCTCAGGGGCGCTGCACCTGTTCCCAGCTGTTGGCAGGTACAGCGCATGCTCTGTTAACGCTGCAGCAGGCCCGACTTGGCCTATTAGGCATGCTTTTCAAGTCCTCCTTGACTCTGTAGCCAACTCCGTCTCCCTCACAGGCGCTTCCCGGTCACCTCCAGCCTGTCTGCCTGCTGCATCTGTCGCTTCTTCTGTTCCACTCTTGCATTTCCTTATATTTCCCTGCTGCCATGAGACACCCTCCCAGCTCCAGCCCTAGCTGGGGGTTTGGGATGCTGAGGGGGATGGAAGGAAACACTTCCACCTCCACGCTGGCTGCTGCCCTCTCCCCAGGGCCTCTCCGGGAGCCAGGCATGCCTCTGCCTTCCTCAGCACAGCCTCTGCTGACCACTGCTTGTGCTGTGGCTCGGGCTGGCATGCTGGAGACCGGACTCTGCGTCCTGAGGTCTGGTAGTGGTGGGGGGCAGTGAGGATGCTGCCTTGGGACCAGGTGTCTCTGACACAGATTCACTGTGACAGCCTGGACAAATGCTTCATCTCAGGGTCTCTTGGTTCTCCTTGGTCCAGGGGAGTCAGCCTGCAGAGGTTCCTTCCATAAATCTGTGACCCAGAGCGTTTTGTTTTGTTTTTTTAAATTAGAATTAGAGTTTTTTGTTCATTTATTTTGGTTTTGTTTTTTTGAGAGGATCTCGCTATGTTGCTCAGGCTAGCTTTGGATTCACTGTATAGTCCAGGCTGCTCCAAACTTCTTCGATCCTCCTGCCCCAGCCTTCTGAGTGCTCGATTACAGGCGTGCACCACCATGCCCAGCAGACCTGGAACGTTTTTCACAAACTCAAGAGCTGGGAGACTTGAGTCTTCTCATACTAGACATCTGAGTGCTTGCCTCTTCCCCTGTCTAGCCCACGGGAAGAATTCCCAGATATTCCACCGACTGCAGAACAGCAGGCATTGTGAAATCCACACATGTATTCTGCCGACACCGTGAGGAGGAGCTCTAGGCTGTGTGTGTGTGTGTGTGTGTGTGCATGCACGCACGTGTGCACACATGTGCACACATGTGCATGCACACACTTAACCCTCCAGTGTGGAGAAATAGCACCAGAGAAACTGTCTACTGCTGAGCGAGGAAGTCACACTTCCTGCACCCTGTGTCCTTGGAGGGTGGCTGGACGAGGCTTAGTTCTGTCTTGGCAGCATGGGCATCTCCAGCTGCGGTGAGAGGCTAGCTGAGCACACACAGGGCCGTGGCTTGCGCTGTCATTGTCCCCCTCCCCGTCCCTTCCCCTCCTTCTCCTCCTCCTCCTTCCTTCCCCTCCCCCTACCCTTCAAAACCCGTCAGGGTTGCTCCACGTTCCGGGGTCTGGGATCTCATGGCTTTCCTCTTCCTCCACGTAGACCTCCTGTGTCCCGCAGGTGACCACAGACGATGTCGATGAATGAGGTCAAAGAGTCCCTCCGAGGTGTGGAGCAGAAGTACAAGCTCTTCCAGCAGCAGCAGTTCACCTTCATCACGGCTCTGGAGCACTGCAGGGAGAACGCACATGACAAGATCCGGCCCATCTCCAGCATCGGACAGGTGATGCCATGGCGGGGCCTGTGCGCCGGGCATGGGGGCAGCAGACAGGCACAGGGTGTTCACGCGGCCCAGTTCCCTCTCGGGACAGAAGAAACGGAGCCTGGGGGTGGAACGCATTGGTGCCGCGGTCCAGGCTCTGATCCTAACTGATGGAATGAGCCCTTCACTTATGCGTTACCAGATGTGTGAGCGGACCACTCAGCAGTTAAAGTAGGAGCTCAAGACTCAGCCAGAGCCTAAGTGCCTGGTGCCTCTGAGATCTGGGGCCACCAAGTCTGTGTCACGAGGCCTCGGTTTCCTCACGTGCTATGCGGGTTCAGGAAAGCATCCATGGAAACTGCTCGGCCTGGGCTTGGCCCCTGCGGAGCACTCGTGTCCAGCGGCATGTCAGCCCTGGGCTGCACCCAGGATGCACTGGTGACCACGTGGGTAGGGTGCCTTCCTCCAGAGTCTTCTGGGGACTGAGGAATCGCAACAGGCCACACCCACTGCTTGTGGCTTTGCTGGCTTTTTCTGTTTAACCCCATCTCCTGGGGGCTAGTGATTGGTTGGTTGTCCACGCTTGCTCCACAGGATCTGGAGGCTTTCCAGGAAGCGGGGGCTGAAGCCACAGTGCAGTGAGGACCCCTGCAGGGACCAGAGTCTCCATGACAAAACTTGGAGGAAATACCTCAGACTACCAGGGAAGACACCCTTAGCAACTGGGAATCCTGTTCAGCCAGGACATGTTGGACACTGGGGAGGCAGGTTGTGCCCTTGCATCTTCAGACTGGAGACAACTAGCTGGCTGTAAAATAAATGGCGCAGTTCATGGGACCTGGGCCCAAGCCAGCTCCTCCCCAGCAGAAATCAGGCTTCTCATCCTGGTCCCACCTCAGACACAGTTAGTGGGGTGGTCCCAGGTCAGGGAAGAAAGACCATGACGCAGGAAGGCCCTCCACTCCTCAACAAGGACAAGTTGAGAGTAGATCAGAAATCAGTATCCTTAGCCCCTTGTTTGGCCTCACTTAGAAAGTCGTCTGGCTTTTGTCTCGCTGTTCCCCTGCAGGCACAGACAGAGCTCTTTCAGAGGTGGCTGGATCTAGGGTGTGTGACTGACTCATGGTGCTGCGTTGGCTTAAGGGTAGGCGATTCCTAAATCGGTCCATTGATTGGTTTGGCACCGCGCTCATCCTGGTTGCTTAGATAGAGTATAAAAGAAGCAGAAAGACACTGTTAAGGCCCTCCTTGCTTTGCTGTCTTCTGTCCACCACGAACTGTTGCCTCTCTGCCATGGGCCACCCTGCCTTGGAGCCAGCTCCTTATGGACTGAAACCTCCACAAACTAAGTTAACCTTTCATCCCTTAACTTGTGGGTGTTGGGTGTTTTGTCTCAGCCACGACAAAGGTAACAAAGACAGAATTTTGTGGAGTGGAGTCATGGTTTTGACTGTACCTCACCATGTGGTCCAGGGGCCTTTGGGCCTGGCTTGTGGGAAGAGTGGAAAGCTGTGCTGATGGCTGAAGAAGCAGGGCTGGAACCCCGCGTTAGGCTGTGCTGCCTGGGAGGGTCTGGCCAGGGCTCAGAAGGCCAGAGGCTGACAGAAGTGCCGCGGACTGGCTCATCGGGTCTTTGGCTGTTGGACCCCAGATGTGTGTTAGATCTCAGAAAGTTGGTCTGTAGATTGCTCATGTCCAAAGACTTTGCCTGAAATTAGGGCGGTAGGCTAATTTTGCAGAAAAAAATCCCAAGGCAGTCTGAGGTGGTGGCTATCGTTGGGGTCTTTCAGCCAGATTTATGCTCAGAATCAAGAAGAAAAGATGGGCTGGTGAGATGACTCAGTGGTCTAAAGCACCTACTTAGAACAAGCTTAGCAAAGCACAGGGACTGCGGTTCAATCCCCCAGCACCACATGCCAGCCAGCCCTGCCCCCTGGTGGGCTGAGCTGGCCACACACATACATACATACATACATACATACATACATACATACATACATAAAAAAGAAGAAAAGAGCCCAGCAAGATGATTAAAACATTGTGGGTTTGGCCAGAAAGGAAACTCCAATAAGTAAATTGGTGGATTGCAAAGATAAAGCAGAGATGGTGACTGCTGAGAAGGAACAGATGGCCTGAGGGCACCCCAAGAAGCAGCAGGACTCCAGCCTTTGCAGCCCCGGATGGCAAAAGTGGAAGACTCTGCAGCTGAAGGTGCAGTGGAGACCCCAGAAGTCTGGAGAAGCCATGCTTTGGTCCCATGTCTTTGTATCCCCATTTGTGACTTTTGGAATGGAAATGTCTGTCTTGTGCCACCGAATGTTGGAAATGTTTAACTTTGTTTTCATTTGTACAGGGGCTCATGACGAAGAGTCTGCCTTAAATCTCAGAGGAGACTTCAGGCTCGGGCTTTCAGCAGTGCTGAAACTATGAGGGCTCTGGCAGCTCTTGGAGATGGGCTGAATGCCTTTTGCCTGAAGGCACGAGCACGAGTCTGTGGGGGCCATGGGTGGGACATTAGGACTTGTGTTTAGGTGTTCCCAAAGCCTCATGCGGTTGCAGGCAGGGCTTTTTCAGAGGTGGCTGGATCTGGGGTGTGTGTCGGAGTCATGGTGCAGTGCTGGGATTACAGGTATGTGGCTACTAAATAGGTCCACTGACTGGACTGACACTGCCCTACCTCAGATAGCCTAGAGAGAGTGTAAAAGAAGCAGAAAGATGCTGTTAAGGTCCCTTGTGCTTTGCTACCTTTGGTCTTCCATGATGTCGCCCCTCTGGTACACCACCCCGTGTGGGAGCCAGGCGAGTGTGGACAAACCTGTACGAACTGTGAGCTACGTAACGCTTTCCTTCCTTCATTTGTGGGTGTTGGGCAGTGTATCTCAGCAATGAGAAAAGCAACTTCTAAGAAGGGTTAGAGCCCTCCTAAACATTCTCACAAGGGGCCTTAAAGTGCCGTTTTGGTATTCAAGCTGCTGGCCCTCCTCAAGTTAATACTGCACATGGGGTTCAGAGGAGACCACATTTTGTGTTTCTCATGTGGATCATCATTTTTCTTGGTTCCATTTACCCATCTATCCCTCCTCGGTCCCCTACCTGTAAGCACAGCCCAACTGAGGCCCACAGGACCCTCATGCCTTCTGGTCCTTCTCAGGAGAGCACATGCTGCCCACAGTTTTGGCGGGTCTCGTGCGTGGGCCTATGGCACGGAAGGTCTGGACCAGGCCCCTTCTGATCCAGGTGGTAGCTGGCGTGGTGCTGGGGGAAAGGTGTGCAGAACGAGCCCCGTGAGAGTCCCTGAGCTGGGAGCGACTTCCACGGGGGCGCTGACCAGCGTGTCCCACCTTTCCCAACCTCCAGTACTCAAAATATTTACCTGCACAATGAGGATTTAAAACGGCACCTACCCACTTGTGGCACCAGGTCAGGAAAGCATGTTTGCGCAGGGCCTGGGGGACTCAGTGACAAGAGACACACTCTGTAAGAAGTTGGCGCCAGGCGGGAACGGGGGCTGCTGCCCTGGGGCGCATCTCCCCAGCTCAAGGCATGCTGGGCTTTGCAGGTGCAGAGCTACGTGGAGCACCACTGCTACAACTCCACGGAGCGGCGGGTCCTGCTCATGTTCCTGGACATCTGCTCAGAGCTGAGCAAGCTCTGCCAGCACTTCGAGGCTGTGCACGCTGGCACCCCGGTCACCAACAACCTCCTCGAGAAGTGCAAGGCCCTGGTTAGCCAGAGCAATGACCTGAGTAGCCTGAGGGCACGGTGAGTCCTCTGGTCCTGCTGGAGCGGCTCTGCTGGGTGGGCAGCCTGGGTGTGGCCACGTGCCACTGTCCCGACTTCCCAGCGGGGGAGATCCTAATCCTCGTCAACTTAGTGGAAGACACGGACCCTTATATAAAACTAGGTCACACATCAGGGAACGAAGTATCTCCCCAGACCAAGCGCCAGGTCAAGGGAGAAAGGCTTGCGGAAGCACTGCTAACAGAAGCCCATGCAGGTCCACGCTGGCACACAATAAAGGGGGACACAGGACTCAACCCCAAGGGTGGCAGCACCACTACGGCAGGTCCTCCCCCGGCCCCTGGGAACCAGGGTGCAGCATGTCCAAGTCTTGGGGAATTTTAGGTCGTGGGGTGGGAAGGGCCAGAGGACCAAGTGGAGTCTTTTGAAGAGGACCGCAGATTCCCGCGCCCTGAATCCAGGCTTCTCCTAAGCACAGGGTCAGTGGTCCACAGCTTCTACCTTTCACCTCAGAAATACCGGGGGTTCTTGGCTCTAACCCTGCAGAACCGGAACCGGTGCACAGCCAGTTCTAAGGCCTTCTGGAGCACCCGTGTGGCTCACCCTCGCCACCCCGTCCACAGGTATCCTCATGATGTGGTGAACCACCTCAGCTGTGATGAGGCCAGGAACCACTATGGAGGGGTGGTCAGCCTCATCCCCCTCGTGCTGGACGCAATGAAAGAATGGATCGCCCACTCGGAGAAGCTGCCCCGCAAGGCGCTGCAGCCTGTGAGTGTGCCCCCGGCTCCACAGAAAGCTACTGGGGCACCAGAGCATTCCCTGGCCGGGCTAAGAAAACTCAAGTGTAGGCAACTTCTGAAAGACAGCCTCAGGCCTAGGGGGAGAGACAAAGGTCGCAGCAAACCTCCCTGGAGGCCACCTGGTAGGAACCTCTAACTCCAGGCCCAGGTTGCTCTCCTTAGGAAGTTTGGTTCCAGCTGGGTGACCCATCCTTACTGATACAGCCTGCCACGAAGCCCCGAGGGGCCAAGACACTGTTGAGAAGCTCCCTTCTCTTGCCTTCTCCTCCAAATGTTCAGTTCTAATCTCTATGATGCCGACGCTTCACGGGCTGCCCGGGCTGTGTGGTGCTGCTGGTAGGTGTCCCACAGCAAGGGCGCTGCGCTGGCACCCCTGTGCCTGGCTGCCCAGCTCTGGTTCCAGTTCTGCGGGGAGCACCCTCACGCTGTTAGGGGCGCGAGGGCCAGCTCTCCGTAGGACAGGCAGGTCCAGCTTCCTAGTGGAAGCTTGGGGTCAGCCTGTGTTCACGGGCCTGGACCGAACGGTGGGGATGAACCCCACCACCCCTCTCCTTTGCTTGGAAAAGGGCGAGCATGGCAGGAGCTGGCACAGATCTGCTTTGTGGCTTTTGCGCAAGTACTGCTAAGGCCCAGACGTTGTAAAATGTGTCCCTGGCTCCTGAGCGTGCCACAAGTCACGCTGACTGTTGGTTTCTCCCTTCACAGGGCACAACTTAGCTTCTGTATTGTTGCTTCCTCGGGGGGAGACGGTCAAGAATAAAGTGTTCTACCGCCTCTCTGCCTGGCTTGTTTTCCTTGGGTTTAGCCTGAAAGAAAACGGTTTCTCCTGAGGGACGGCAACCGCAGGGTCCCGCATGGACAGTGGAGGGGCTCTGCTGTGGACGAGTGTGCGCCCATCCCCAGAAACGGGCCTCAGAGGCTCACGCCACAGGGCAGGGCCAGCCTGCAGCCACTTCTCCAGGCCTGGAAAGTAACTCCTCGTCTGGTGAGAGACCTGTTCACACAAGGAAATCTAAGTTTTTCGGACAAATCCCTAAGTGCCACTTGCGAGTCTGTCTAGCAGGAGCTGCCTCTGCCATGAGAATGAGCAGAGCCGCACTGAATTCCAGGGCAGCCAGGCTGGGGACGCAGCTGACGGCCTCTGGCAGTGCGTGCCTCCGTGCCTGGGCCTCAGGTGCCTCGTGGAGCTCCAGATCAAGTAAAGGGCGTTTGCTGCTTCCTGCCGAATGCCTGAGGGCGCAGGACAGGAGTGGCCATCGCCATCCTTTCCCTTGGCACTCGCACCTGCAGCTGCCGAGGCTCGAGATGCGAGATGCGGAGTGCAGAGGAATCCACGCCTGCTGCTTCTGCAGAAAAGGACTCCGGACGCCAGCGCGGCCAGCCCACCGGGGTGCAGGTGCGGAGGGCCGGACCGGCCGTGGTGCAGACCGGCCGGCGTTCAGGTTTCTGTGGGTGGCTCTGGTGGGGGAGCATCCAGTGATTCTCTAGGGAAAAGTATCTGAGGTGCAGACTTGGGTGTCACTAATGTACCAGGAGCCTCTGACAGACTAAATCCCAAGCCCACGCTCGTCCATGCGCTCCTCCGGGACCCCCAGACCCATGCTGGTGTGTCTCTGGCTAATCCCCTACTTTGCCTACCACCCCCAGGCTCCCTGGAGGCCAGCATAAGTCAGGCCAACACAGCAGAGTAGTGCAAAACAATAAATTTTTATTTGTTCACAGTTAAACACAAGCAACTGCCTTGACATTTCAGAACATCCTAAGAAAGACAGCAAACCCTTCTGATTCCCATTCCATCCACTGAGATTGTGCCACGCTCTCTCACAATTCATGTTGATGGCATCTGACGTGGACTGCTTTGACATGCTTTTAAGAACAAGGCAGGAAAGTTCAAACCTTTTGACAAGAAGTGACTTTCTCCCACTTAACTAAAAGCAGTCTGTTTAAAAATCGAGTTCTTTTCACTGATGAGATCCCTTTAAACTGCAAGTTACCCACATACGGTTCATCCATGATTGAGTTATAAAACTAGATTTTAGCTTAGCAAAACCTGTTCCTCTGTAATGTATTTGTGGTCCACAGACATTTCTAAAGAGAAATCACTGATTCTTCTTAGTGCAAAACGCCTGGCTGGCTGCCTTTCTGATGAGCCAGCGTACGTGCTACACGGCACCATGCCTCCCGCCCACGCTGGCCGGGTGTGTGGGGTCCTGCGTCTCCTCTGAGCGCCCCTTCCCGGCCCCACCAGCCTCCTCCTCACAGACGGAGGATGGGCAGCACCGGGAAGGGCTGCAAAGCTCCTTGGGCCTAATTCATCTCAGAGCCAAAAGTGGCTGGGGGTAGGGAACGGAGGGGTGAGGGCGGAGGTTCCGTGTCGCTGCAGCCACTCCTCTCAGCGAGCTTTTATACACCATGTGGCAAAGATGGAAACTCCAGCTGGCCAAGGCTCACTGCGGAGTCTTGAAGGGGAAGCCCAGCCACACAGGACAAGGATCCCTGGAGCAGCCCAAGCGCCAGGCCCTAACCTAAACTTGCTCTTTTACCTATGAGAAAAGCTCATCGAGTGCAATCAATGACTGCAGCAGTTTGGGGGAGGGGCACGTGTCACAAGACTCCAGATGTAAACAGATCCATGGTCATTCACAGACTAGGTTAATTTTTCAACCCTCATGGAGGTCAGCTTCAGAGCCTGCGCCTTGGAGAGCATGAGTGTGTCCACGTGAGGTATGGCCCGGGCTCTGCACCTTATGCCAGCTTCCCAGGCAGCCGCTCAAGCAGGGCTGGGCCCGACCTCCCCCACGTGTCCACACCCGCCAGGTGCCCGCCGCTGGCACTTTTGTCTGCTCCCCTGTTCTTTCTGGCTTCAAGTGGTAGGTTCTGGTACCTGGTGGACACTTCCACAGGGGCCACAGTGCACAGAAACACGTGCCCAGTGTTCGGTCCTTAATGCCAGCCTGAGCTCTGTGATCCAGCCACGGACGCCTCCCCAACAGCCACTGCATGCCCTCCGAACCACAGCTGTATTCCCATCTTTCTCAGCAAAAGCACTGGAAACTCCAAGCTGCTGCCAGAGCTCAGTCGGGTTTGTTGTTTTGCCCAGGAAGTTCTGGCCTCTGGCTGCAGTGGGAAGGTCAGGAGGAAGCTCCTTTCTCGTCAGTGGCTTCCAGAAGTTTGCCTGGCCTGACAAAATACCTTCAAAGAGTGCTTGGGGCGGCTGGCCCTGACCATGTCACACACAGTAGGCACCTTCTGTGGCCCGTGGCAGCCAGGCCATGCTGCTCCCAGAAGCCACAGCGAGCCCAGGGAAGCTACTGGCCTGCCTCAGGGATGGCGCCCAAGCCTCATCTCCAAGAGTGCCTCTTAGAACCTCTGGAGCCAAGAAACGACCCAAACACCTTTTTTCTTTCTTCTCATATCTATCACCATATAATTCTCCTCATTCCAGATTAACGATTTTACAGGCTTTATGGTGTGGCCTTATCGGGAGCCTCTTAAAGCCCCACCAAGTTCTACGGGAGACGAGCTTACTTCCCGTAGCGGCTCCGGGAGCTCGCCGCCTCTGTGCCTTCCACTCCTTTTCCTTCTTCCCCCGGCCCCAGACAATACTGCAGTGCTTCTTTCTAAAGAGACTCCGTGCTGACTAAGACACAGGCCCGGGCTGACCCTGGCTGGTGTCAGAAGGGGCAATAGCTCTGTGTCTTGGCCCTCACAGTGCAGAGGTCGCCCAGGGCCAACATGACAGACCCAGGATTGCTGGCGGCAACACCACCTCTGCCTGGCCCACGAGCTGTCCTCGCCCTGTGCGGGCCTCGCTTGCCCCTCAGGGGCTCCGCGCCTCCTGACCGCCTTCCCGTCCTTCTAAAGCCTGACCGAATCACCAGTGAGTGAGGACACGGCATCTTGGCAGGTCTATCACTTCCACACTGAAAGCAAGCTCTACCATTGATCCTGGAGTCCTTTGCAACATAAAAGCCTGCAGCTCCAAGTATCAACCTCTGCAGCTTAGCTAAATAAGACCACGGCCTCCTGGAATGTACAGGGGTGTGAGCTGAAACACACCAGCCAGCGGGCTGGAAGGCTGGGGAGCCAGCCAGCAGGGGAGACCCGTGCAGAGCACCCGGTACACTGCACAGCCTCCACGCTGCCATGCTGCCTCCTTCCTTCCCTGCACCTCACAATCTACGGGACTCCAAAATCAATGTTCGCTAATGAAGGAAAAGGCTTTCACGGAAGTGCCTAGCATCTTTGTTCTGTGGCACAGATCTCTGAGGCTTGGAAAGGGGAAAGCATTTCAAACTGATTTCAGTAGCTAACCTGCAACATTTCCTTCCTGTTCTGAATTTGTTCATGTTGTCCTTTTCTAATATGGAACCAGGAAGCTAGGATGTACTGGACTGTAAGCGTTCCTTGGACAAAGCTGGATTAGAAGTATGGCCTCGCTGGCACTCCTCACAGCAGCCCTGGGCGCGCCCTTTCCCGGGCTGGGTGGGTCCCCAGCAGATCTTCACCACTATCACTACGGCAACATGGTAACACAGAGCCGCCAATGGCCTGCTTCCGTTAGCCAGCTCCACTGGGATACTTCCTGCCACAGCTACGACTTGCCCGGCGTGTGCTGGAAGCTTCCACAGACAGGACTTCGTACCTTTGGGTTCTTCACGGTTGAACCCTTTTCTCTGACAGAATAGAAACAGGGCTCTTTTCTGCCAAGCTTCTCTCTGGCTGGGCTGGAACACCAGCCATCAGCTCTTAGGCTTCTAGCGTTTATTCAGGAGCATTTGTGGGGCTTGGATCCCTGACTGACACCAGTGTCTGATGCCCTGTGTCACCTCTAATGACCACATGGGGCAGTGCAGTGGGTACTGGCAGCTGGCCTCTGCAATGCCCTCCCAGACTCTGCTTTTGGTTGCTCTGCTGTCCCCAGTGTGGGAAAGGGCAGTAACCTCAAGCCATCCCTGACAGGAGCGGTGTGAGAAGCTGCTACCCTTCTGTGACTCAGAACTGACAAGCGGTAGTAAGGCAGCCCCAGCATGAAAACGGCCACATACACTCTGAAGAAACTGGGCCTTCATGGCCTCTGCTGCAGCGTCACGAAGCAGGTGACACAAATGAGGCACAAGGAACGCAAGGGAAGGCAACCAGACCAAAGGGCCAAACCAAAGGCTCAGCTGGATGACAGCAGCCGCAGGGTGCGGCTCCCTGCAGGGAGCTCCTGGAACTTCTCCAAGTGAACTCCTTCCACCTGGGGGCACAGGGTGCTGCCCCTGCACCGGCCTGGGCTCAGCCTGGTACCAGCGTTCAAGCAAACACCAAATAAATAAGAGGTAGTGGGGGAAGGAGGGACAAGAGCTTTCCCAAGGACAAGGACGTGTGGCCTAAACAGTGCCAGCTACACTTGGGAAACAACAGGTGCTCGTTCACACACAACTTCCTCACAAGTGTATCAGAACCACCAAAAGAACGGAAGGATGAATGAACCATTGTTTTTCTAGGTCTGCTTCTGTAGATGCTGAACTTCAGGACCAAAAAACAGGGAGAAGTCTCTGACAGATGCTTTCACGTGAGGATAACCCGCTCTGCAGGCTATACCCTCACAGAAGGGACAAACCGGACTTACCTGCAAGCCACCAACTGCCTGGTCTAACCGAGAACCACCCAGTGGCCTGAGCATCAGGAAAGCAGAGTGGTGTCAGACTCAAAGGTGGAATTTGGCCTCATATTGCACAGGTTCAAAGGACGCAACCATCGGGGGAGAAGGAAGAAAATAAAGCTACCGAGGAACACCAGCTGGCCCTCAGTTAGTACACACTGATGGGTAAATGAAGGCTCGGGGCGGGGTGAAGGGAAGGTGAAGAGGCGTTTCAATGCCAGATCTGGAAACCGTTGCGCATTCGGTCAGATGTCAAAAGGACCTCTCTCCCACTTCCACACGTGAACCACCACTCAAACCCTGGAGACAGGAACACCTCGAACATGCACTCACACCTCCTGTTCTTCACCAACAAGATGCAGGTTAACACTGCCTGAGCCTCCCCCTTAGCTGTGTTCGTGATGAGCCTCATTGTAGTCCATGATACGAAGCTGTCCGACGCTGTCCAGACCGGCGGGAGAAGGGTGCGGGCCGTCCAGGCTCAGGGACGCTTTGGCCTCCACACCCGAGTCCTTGCCGGGCTCTGTCTTTAGGCTCTCCGAGAGGCCGCAGAGGGTCGTGCTGTCCTCGTCACACTGGCTCTCACTCTTGTTGCGAAACAGCTCTCGGGCCTTCATGCCCAGAAAGCTCTTTGAACTGGGCAGTGAGCCCACGGTCGGAATGCCAGGTGTGGGTTCAGCCATGGTGGCTTCCCTCCGACTGAAGGGGCCTGCTCTCTGGCTTGCGGGTTTCTCTGGGGTGGAAAGCTCGCTGCTGCTGCCGCCGCCGCTGCTGCCACTGCCTCCAGCTCCTCGACCTCCATCACTCCCCCGCACGCCGCCAGGCCTGGGGGTTTTGGTCTCACCACTGTGCCCAGATCCCTCTTCACTGTGCGCTTCCCCGGAATCTGAGCAGCCATCATTGCAACAGTCAAGCCTACAAGAAATCAGGGAGAAAAAAGGAGTTGGTGACTCCGACGCCCATGTTTGGGAGATGAATGGGACGGCTACCCACGCCCACTGAACCTGAACTCTGCTGGCCTGCTCTGCTATGTAACAGTGAAGCCGAAAGAGAGAGAGCGAGAGCGAGAGCGAGAGCGAGAGCGAGAGCGAGAGAGAGAGAGAGAGAGAGAGAGAGCGAGAGCACAGAGGAGCCGCAGTTACAGTGAGGGATCCGAGATGGCAATCTGCGTGTGAATGGCGGGCCATGTGACAGCAGCCCGAAGTGGAGGTGGGAAGACCACAGGCACTGAGAGGAAGGGTGGGCCAGGGAGCGCTGACGGGCTGCAATGGCTGCTTCCAGCATCAGGCAACACAGTCTCAGCTCTGCTACCAGCAGCCTCATGGTGAGTCAGGGACAGCTCTTGGCTCTTACCTTTCTTCCGCGGCTTCTGCAGCTTCTGCCTTTTCCTCTTGGAGCTTTCGCAGGAGACCGTCCTTCTCCAGCCTGCTGTACAGGTCTAGGATCTCCAACTCAAACACTTGGGTGACCCTTTTCTGAGCCTCATACCTGCTCTCTGCGGCCTGCAGCTGCCCTCTGAAAGACACGGAGCCACCTGGACGGTGAGAAGCCCCCCTTACCAGAGCCCCCACTCCCCAAGCCTCTCCTGTGAAAGTTACCTTGCCTGGGCCTTGACATCCTCTAAGTATTTCTTCTGTTCTAGAAGAAGGTGGTCTTTCTTGGCCAGATGAGATTCCAGTTCCAAAATTCGTTTCTGAGAGGTATCAAGCCTCTGATTCTGCTGGAGAACGTGGCTTCTGTTTTTTTCTAGTTCTTTCCGATAAGCAGCTTTCATCATTTCCACTTCCTAAGAGATTGCAGTTAGTACTTACAGAAAACAAACACACCAGATCCACTTTGGAAAGATGTCATAAGCTCTGAGAGGGCACATTAGTATCCCAGTGGTAGAAATACAAGCAAGTACAACGTTCTGGGCAATAAGCCGGTTAGGCTTAGTGGGGTTAGGCTTAGTGGGCACTTCCTCGAAGGCTAACCCAAAAGAAACAATCTGAACTCATAGACACTTTGTACAAAAATAATCAGCAGTGTATTTGTAAGAGGTAGGCAATGGCTGCTACATTGTGCCCACCAAGAATTGAGAAGTTTAGAAGTTTAACTAAGCGACTCAGCAGGGGGCCAGGTCCTTGCTCTGTGAACTTTCTGAGCCTGTGCAAGAGGAGGGCAGGGAGATGGTGTGAGCACCAGAAGCCTGCAGTGTAAGGAAGGAAAAGAAGCCTGCTCTCTCCCCTTCTGTGGTATTCTGCCACCTTGGACTGCCCTCCCATGCCTTGCAGCCAGCTGACTGTGGGCTGAAATCTCTACAAACTGTGAGCTAAATAAACCTTTCCGTCCTTAATTTTGGGTGTTGGGTGTTTTGTCTCAGTAAGAAAAGTAACAAAGACAAACTAAGACCTGGAAGCACCTTGTGAGGGAAGCAATTACATAAAGTACACCTTATATTTGTGAGTTACTAGCCTATGGCACTGGTAAAAGGTAAAAAAGCAGACCACAAAACAGTCCACCATGCAAACACATTCCTCTGTCCTCAGTGATGTACGCCCGTGTTCACAGATACGATAGTAGGTTATTTGCTATTTTATTTTTCCTGCTCTCCTAAGAGCAGCCGAGGTAGAGCTAGAGAAGGCAACAGGAAGGGAGCAGGTTTGCTCAGGAGAAGCAGCCTGTGCGGGATGGGTCCCCTCAGGAGATCTGCCGATTGTGCCCAGGAGGATGGCCTCCCTGCAGCCGCAAGCTCAAGACAAGTGTACACTGATGTGTAGAAAAAGGGTAGAAAGGGTAATTTTCTAACAGCATGTGTTATGTGTGTGTGATAACTACGGTAAAATGTATATAAAATAAAATTCATAGCCATATTTGCTTCTTTAAAAAGATAGCAAACCACACAGTGCAATGAGATGAACTTCCATGAAGTCTCCTGGCCTTGAAACTGACCAGTAAGCAAAAGCTTCAAGGGTACAGACTGCAGCAGACTGAAGCTCCAGCCGCTGTGCCACCGTGTGGCCTTCCAGCTGTGCCACGTGCGCAGGTACCAGCACAAGCGAGGACAGCACATCTGACATGGGTCACAAGCAATAGCAGTCAGCCCGCGACACGCATGGGGTCAGCTAATCACAAAAGGAAATGTTCAAAAAGAAACTGTCTGGGGCTTGGAGATAGCTCAGTGATGTAAGAACCTGCCTAGCAAGCACAAGGCTCTGAGTTTGATCCCCGGTACCCCCTTTCCCCCCAAAACAAAGACAAAGAGAAAAAGAAAAAAAGAACCTGTCTATACTGAGTATGCACAAACTTTCCTGCCACTCTTCCCTAATGACTGTGTGACAACTATTTATTAGCAATTCAGTAGGTATTAAATAATCCCAATGTGGTCAAAGGGCACAGGATAATATGTGTGGGTCCTAACAAGCAAATACTATGCCACTCTATGTAGGGGACACTCTGGAGCGGGCCCTCCAGGGGCAGAGCTATGGATTTATTTATGGGTAATTCTCCCAGCAAGGCAAGGTCCATGAGCTCACCGTGACCTCACCAGCCAACTGACTGTCCCACCTGACTCTCTGACAACGCCCCATTCCCCTCTGCTGGCCTGAGCAACACCAAGCCCAGCACAGTCCCAGCTGCAAAGCCTCACTGATATGAGGTGAAGATGGGTACTGATGAGCACACGACTCAGTCCTGGCCAACAAGGGCCACAGGAAGTATGTAGAGGATTCTGGGAAAGGTCTCTCTGCTGAGCAAGACTCAGAAGAGATGCTCTTCTCTTCAAGACACCAGGATCTGCCCGGGAAAGTGCATCTTGGGTGCTACCTGGCAACCACAGGGACAGCTGGCCTGGAAACAAAGCTGACAGGCTAGGCAGTGTGGTGCGGAAGCAGAGATGACTTGGGCTCCCTGGTGCTGCCCACAGCTGCCAACCTGACCAGCCTGGAACTCGCCTGCCTCTGAACTTGCCAAGTGATATTCCTTATTGTGGGCCATCCTGGCTTGTGTTCTTCACATGGCTTACAGCAGAAGGCAGCCTGTCTGAGCAGCAGCACCATCCTTCACTGTCAAACAGGCCCAGAGCGGGCAGTGGCTGCTCATGGTTCTGAAGTATCCAAGCAGGCCCCAAGCAGCCACATCACATCACAGAAGCCGTCCCCTCTCTACTTCTGCTGGAAAGCCTTGGCAGCATCCTCTACAGCTCTTTCAAAGGTCTCCTGGGTCTGCTTCCCACCTTCCTTCATGCAAAGTCATTCCACCTTCACAATGACTGCCAGTGTCTAAAAAGTTCCACATGTAACATCCTTTTAGGAGGAGTCTGAGAGCCAAATCCAAAAAAGATATTTTTTGGTGTCCACATATGTTCAAAAAAGACACTTTACAAAGCATAAGCCCAAGAAACCCTGAAGAGAGCCATGTGATGAAGCAGCTGTGACAGAAAGTGTCTGAGCACTTCCTACTAAAATTCTATTCCCAACTTGTTCACCCACATCACCTGAGGCTATTTATAAAGTGACATGGAACTTCTGTCCTGACACCAGTGGTGAGACACTAATTAACGTAAGATCATCCAGTAGCTGGCCTTGTTGCCAGGACTGAACTACCATCAGCAAAAATTAGATTCAACAAGAAAAGGAAGAGAAAATGACACACACACAGTACAGACCAAGGCATAACTAGGGTCCTGAGGGAAATGCCTCTCTATGGAGAGAGAGAAGAAACACTTTCACACCTGCAACGATCCCACCAGGTGCTGCACATGCAGCAGACTCCAGCTCAGAGCCACCCAGCAAGGGCGTACACGCACTCTCCACAGCTGGACAGTGCCTGTGCAGGGCCAGGGAGAGGTGTGCTAGACATAGCTCTATCTCTGAGGAACAATTCCCAAAAGCTCGTCTACATGACATGTTGCCTGGGCCTGCAACTTGTGCTCCACGTGCCACGTACCTTGGTGGTGTCTGAGTGCTTGTTCTGCAGTTGTTCCAAATACAGCTCATTGACCTCCCCAAGCACCAACAGCTGCCTGTTCAAGAACTCCATCTGCTGCTGGACTGACTCACTGTTGGAGAGCTGACCAAAACACACACTGTGAGAAGTCTGGCTCCACAAAACTAGAAATGCATGTTAATCAGGAAACCCGCTAGGACCACAGGAGGTCAGTACTAGGGGAGACTTCCCACCATAACAGCTGGGGGGGTACCCAGAGAACCACAAGAATAAGCAGAAAGGTACTTCAGTGTGTGCTATGCAAGTAGGAAGCAGCACCAACGGACCACACCAAGGTGACCACCGTGGGACACCAGCAGCAGATGGCCAGGTTGTGGCCACCATGGCAGGGGCAACACATCTAGGATGAGGCCCAGGGAAACTTGCCTACTGCTGAGCGAACTATGCACAGCAGGTCTGCTCAATACCAAAGACAGGATCACAGCTCAAAAACCTTAACATGGGCTGGAGAGATAGCTCAGCGGCACAAGTGCTTGCCTGGCAAGTGCAAGGTCCTGAATTTGACTTCTAATACCAAAAAACCCCACAACCTTAACACACTTCCACATTTATGTACAGGAGGTACCGAGAAAGGGCTCCACAGGATATTTGTGGCCCATGGCTCACCCCACTTTGCTGAGGGTACAATGTGCACACGAAAGCATATTCAGCAGTACCCTGGCCCCTAGCCATGAACTGCCAGTGGCACCAAAAAATGTGACACTGCCAAGTGTCTTCTGAAGGCAAAGCAGGGCGGGACCCCACCACCGATGCTCAAGTAACACAGCTGGCCCACCTGGCGGAGGAGTGCGAGGCCATAGCTCCCCCTGCTCACCTTCTGAGAGACCTGGCTCAGCAGTAGCTCCGTGTGGCACACCTTGTTGTTGGCCTTCTTCAGCTCCACCCGAAGCTCCGCGATCATGTTCCTGCAGTCTTCTAGCTTTGTCTATGCAAACAGATGCGGTTATGAAGCAATGGCAGCATGGGCCACCTGCCTGGCTACAGCCATGCCAGCCCACACTGACCCGGGTGTGCCCAGCCCAACTGCTTGCCTATTCTGGGCAGCAGCATTCAGCTTGTCCCATAAGTTTAGTTGCCGCTGATTTCTAAATCACTTACTATTTTAACAAAAGGCTCTAGTTCCCAATCTGTACGCTGAAGAGCCCTGGGACTATTAAGCCAATGCATGGGGCTATCGTGGAGATGGTTTATGTTTCTGAGGGACATGCAGTGACATCTGTGGGACATAATGTGAACTACTAATTAGTCAGAGGCAGCTGACAGCCCAACTCTAGATCATGCTGTGTGCCCGGATGAAGCCTTATCTCTGCAAAGCTGAGCACTGGGGGACTGCTGTGGTACAAAGGTGCTGTGAGGAACCAGTGTGGAGCAGGAAATGAGGGCAGTGCTGCGCACAGTGACCGGCCCCAAGGCTGGAATTTCAGTCGTGGTGCTGCCCGGTGCACATGGTTTTAGTAACTGCAGCTATCCGAAGTGTTAAGGATGTAAGTGTGTATATACACATATACCAAAAAAACCCACAACCTTAACACACTTCCACATTTATGTACAGGAGGTACCGAGAAATAAATAAATACATATACATATACATATATATATATAAAATTTTCCAATAGCAATTAAGCTGCACTCACAGTGGCTGAGCTTAGACCTCTCACATGAGAGGACTGCCGTGCTTCCGTGGGCTCCACAGTGCATGCACACTAAAGCAGCTATGAACTAAAGGAGCTGGGGAATTTCTGTCCTTGGCAAGATGGAGCGGCCTGAAATCTATCTGCTGCAATCTCAGAGGGAAGTGCTTATCTCAGGTGAGCCGACCAAAGGACAAGCTCCCCTGTGCCCTCGCGGTGGCTCTCAGGCCTTCTCCGCTGGCTGGCCCGGCTTCAGCCTGTACCTGTAATTCCTGGCTCTGGTTGTAGAATTCTTCCCGGTCATGCTGCAGCTGTCTGATCTGGCTGTGGAGATGGGCCACCACGGTGTCACGCTGCTCCTGCAGCTGACTGTACCTGGCTTGCTCTTTCTGTAGACTCACCTTCCACATTTGGATGTCTTTTTCTTGTAACTTCAGCTGATCTTTCTAGCCGAAACCAGAGATGCCATTATTTTAGCTAACATCAAACATAGCAGTGAGGCATATACTTGCCCCACAGTCACAGACTACCTGGAACCACAATGACAAGCCGCAGAGTCTGACGTCTCAGGACTATCTTACTGGCTTTTTGGTTAACGTTTGCCCAATTTCACACTAGCACCTAGACTGTGAGTTATATGAAGAACTTTACTTGGGAATCAAGCTGTTTCCCATGCTTTTGGACATCTCAACCACCACCACTGGAGTAAGACAGGACCACATGGTCCTGACTAGGTTCACTAGAACACTGAACATGTACTGAACACTTGTACCATGCAAGGCACAGGCAAGTACTTACTGAGATCATTTCTTTTAACCTTCAGAACTGAAGAACTAGGTGTTACTATTGTGACTTCTCCATCCTGCTACTATAGTTACTTGTTTTATAGAAGCCGTAACAAGGTTCCAAGAGGTCAAATTTTTTTTCTAAGACAACTAGTACAGTTACTACTTCAATGCCAAATCTCACTGCCTTTATACTGGCAGCATGACACAGATTTCAATTCTATGACATGAAACAGCTTTGGGGGAATTGGTTGCACATCTGGAGAAATAAAATTACCTTTCAATCCCTTCATCATCAGAGCCAATCACAAGCAAACACACAGAGTGCCTTGGCCCCACGGCCTCTGGGAGCTAAAGGGGATTCTGTGGTCTCGCCATCTGCAGCCACCCCTCAGAGACCAAGTGGCCTGGCCCAGCCCCCAGTGAGCAGGGCTGCCCTGCCAACTCGGCCCTCCCTGCTCTGACAAGCCTCCACGCTGACACAAAGCAAACAAACGGCAAGGCCCGCACGCCCGTGTCCTCACCATAGCGGCATTATGTTCCTCCAGAGCCGCAGCCCTGATCACTTTGCGTAGAAGCCGCCTGTTTCGGAGCGCATGCTGCTGCCTCTTAAAACGCTCGTAGAGTAACTGGTTGTGCAGTAAGAGCAGCTGGTCTCGGAGGGTGCGGGTCTCATCCGAGGGAGGAGAGCCTGCCAATAAAGCACAGGGCAATGGCAGGGCTGTCTTTTATCTGTGGTCCGCCCGGCCCTCCCCTATTGGTGGAAGAAACACAATTCTTTCAAACACAAACCGCTCTGCAAGTGACCATCTAGTTCCCAGAAGCAGCCACTGTTGAGAGGGAGAACACATATACCAGCCGCCTCCGTTTAAAGGGCCAGCGAGGGCTGGTGAGATAGCTCAGCAGACTAAGCACCTGCTTAGGCAAGCGCAGGAACTAGGGTTTGATCCCTAGCACCACATGCCATGCTGGCCTCACACTGGGCCAGCCCTACCCCTGGGCACACTGAGCGATCACCGAGACCAGGTGTGGGGGGCACAGCTGTAATCCCAGTGCTGGGGAGGCTGAACAGGAGGATCACTACAAGTCTGAGCTGCATAGTGAGACCCTGTACCAAATACATTAAAAAACAAACAAACAAACAAACAAACAAACAAACAAACAAACGGCCAGCAAGGTAGCGTTCTGGGAGCCACTCTCTTCCACAAACCTGACCCCCCGCCCAACTCCCTGGCTCTCCTCCAGCTGCTCCTGCACAGCTATGTTCTCCCCTAGGAGCTTCTCAGTCCACGCACACCACCGAGGGGACCTGGCTCCAAGGCTACACGTGGTACTGGCATGGCATGTTTGAAAAGCAGGAAATGCTGACTTGGCAACCCTGAGATTCCCAGCCAACCAGATGAGCTGCTGGAGGAGGGCCAGGGGAGGTGCTTCCCACAGGGCCCTTCCTTCAAGGACATACAAGGAGCTGTGAACAAAGCCACTGGGGTGTATGTGGGGTTAAAGCAACAACTTTACCTCCAAAGTGGGTCCAGTCGACAGACTTGCTGGGTAAGGACAACCTGGGAATAAAGTTAGGGACAATGAAGTTACTTACTGGATCTAGAAGAGTGATCTAGACATGTAACTGCAACAAGAGCAGGTCACTTCCTTGTGCCCAGAATCCTCCAGGGCCTACGGAAACGCCAAACCCCGAGAGCACACGGAGCTGGAGGTGCAGCCCAAGTGGACGGACAGGCAGGCAGCCTGCTGCGAGGGCCAGAGCTTCACAGAGGACAAGCCCCACTGGGCGTCCCCACCCTCAGTGTGGCCTGCGCCTGGAGGTCAGTGCTCCAAGGCCGAGGAGGATCTGCTTCCCCACTCTCCATGGAATACACAGGAAGAGCTCCCTTGAAGAAGCTACTCTCACCTTCACTTAAGAAAAAGTAGTTCACTTATTTTAACCCATTATACCAAATCTAACTGAAAAACAAGAAGGCTAGCTGGGCATGGTGATTCATGTCTGCAACCCCACCACTCAGGAAGCTGAGGCAGGAGGACTGCCACAAGCTTGGGGCGAGTCTGGGCTACACAGTGAATTCAATACTAGCCTGAGCTACACAGCAAGACCAAAATAATAGCAGTTTAAATATTATAATTATTGTCAGATTCCACTTTGGGACAATATTATAGAAGATACACAGAACGTAACATTTCTCCAAGAACCTGTGTAGAAATAGCACAGAATCCAAACTAGAGCCCTCTCAAAAAGGGTACTAAGCCATAACGGTGTCCTACATTTCTAAGAGCTCTGTGTGGTAGGAGGCCATTAGGCTATTTGAGCTTGCATAAAATGCTGATGATACGATTTTTATTTTTGGCGGCTCTGGCTCACTTTGTAGTCCTGGCTGGTTTCAAACACGCAATGATCCTCCTGTCTCAGCCTCTCGAGGGCTGGGATTACAGGCATGCACCACCATGCATGGCCTGGATGGTCTGATATTTACCCAACGATCCACATTTTTAAAATCTAACAGAATAATCTGTAATTAAAGGGGAAACACTAAATAAACACTGCTATATTGAGAAGCCCCAGGTGCTTATTTTTGATCTCCACCCTCCCAGGGCAGTGGCACACACAACAGCCTACACCACAAAGGTTCCTTCTACACAGACACCCTACGGGCTGTCTGAGCCCAGGGCACACTTGTGCAGTGGACAGCACACACTGGAGCACCTCTGGGAATATGGGGGACTGGCGCCTCCCAGTCAAGCAGGCAGAGAGAATCACGCTGCGCACGCCTTCTGGTGACCTGCATGGGCCACACTGGGATGGTGGCCAGCTTACTTGCTGAGCTCCTTGCTGTGCGCATCTGCTCCCTGCTGTAGCAGCCTATCCAGCACTTCCATGGGGGAAGCAGAGGGCGTGGAGTCTTCCTCAGGGCTTCCCCGCACTCTCTTTAACAGCTCCTCAGACTTCTTGCTGACAAAGTGGCAGGCAGTCTTTGGCAAGGCCGTCTCAAAGAGATGGTCATATGGGGGAGGCTGCCCACCTCCAAAGTCCATCTCCCTCCGAAGCGGCATTTTGCAAGGGCTGGGAGTGAGGATGTTGGTCTCCAGGGAAGTCTGGCGGTCCCTGTCCCCAGCAAGGCTGGTGTCGGCTCTGCCACAGGGTAGATCTATAGGAGTAAAGGCTTGCTTTGGTGTGTCGGGCCCAAACTTCTCCAGGGAGGAGTGCAAAGGCTCGGGGTTTGCGCTGGAGCCGTGTGTCCCAGAGGCAGCTGAGTGTGTCTTCCGTTGAGAACCCGGGAGACCGTCTCGGTAGAAGGGAGAGTCAAAGCCTCCTCGAGGGACCCCAGGCTCAGCCTCTGGGGCGGTGATCTCTGAAAGCTCTTTAGATATTGCAGCTAGAAGGAGAGCGGGAAACAAGGACGCTTTAGTGGCTGCTCAGCAGGGCAGGCCTAAGCAGGGCCACGTACCCGGGCATCCTTGACCCCCGCCCCCAGGTCCTATTAAAACACCCGCCATTTGCTCAGCAGAAGAAAAACCAAGCAAGCGTTTGAGCTGCCTCCAGATCTCAGTTCTGAGACAAAACAAGGCCAAGTTGCACCGTCTCACAGGAATCCCGCATACATCACCTTCTTCCTTATCTTTTTCAACACTGTCTTCCTCTAAGGCCAGATCACCTAGAAACCCTGGCAGGTCACTCAGAGTGACAGGGCCTTTGGTGCTGGGCAGCTCTTCTGAAGAGAAACAGAGAGAACGCTGGTCAGAGACAAGTTGAGAGGTCCCTGCAGATGCAGAGGGCTTGGAGCGTGACAAGGTGGCTGCGATCGCTCTTCCCACCAACTCCCTGCAGCCTCCAACCACAGGGGCTGAACTACAAGACACCTCATGGAAGCTACCAAAGATAACCTCCACAGAATAAAATGCCCAGGCTTCGGCATCCTCAAGAACAGATAAAACCGTGTAATTAGCCCAACTTAAAACACTCAGGGGCTGGGGAGATGGCTCAGTAGAGTAAGTGCTTCCCTGGCAAGCGCAAATGTCTGAGTTCAATCCCCGGTTCCGGAAAGAAACCGAACCGAACCAAACCAAACCAAACCAAACATACAAACAGAACACTCAAGTGCTTCAAGGAAACAGCTGGAATATTTTTCTTCTTTGTTTTAGGTGGTGGTGATGGGAACTGAGCCCAGTGCTTCTGTCCTGAGCTACATTTACAGCTTTTAAAATACTTCTGTTTTCCTGTACTTAGGACAGAGCCTACAGGGTATACAGGGTCTCACTATATAGATCAGACTCACAGATTTTCCTGCTTTCAGCCTCCCAAGTGCTGGGATTATAGGTGCGTGACACCACGCCCAGTCTCAATTGAGGTCTCAGTGCACCCAGCGGACGCGGCCAGCATGGCACTCCAGGACTGAACCCTGGCTGCTGCACTCTGCCTAAGCAGACATTTTAGTCCGCTGAGATATCAGGTCAGCTCTCCTTTGGGTTTTTTGTTTGTTTGTCTTATTGGTAAATTTTAGATATACATAATAGTAACGACTTTTTTTTTACTTTCTAAGAGCATCTTGCTAAGTTGCCCACGCTGAGCTCAAACCTGCAATCTTCCTGCCTCAGCTTCCCAAGGTACTGGGATGACACATGTGTACCACCATGCTCAGCTATCTTAAAAACTGTTTTGACGTTATTATTAAGCTTTTAGAATCCAGTACTTACTTTGTTTCTACGCTCTACCCATCAGTGTTTTGTGGGGTTCCAGGAGGCCCTCATTTTCACCCTTTTGAGGCAAGGCTCTTAGCTATGCTGCACTCTGGTCCTGAACCCAAGACATCCTCCTCCCGTGGAAAGCCTCTCGCCTCAGGCTCCTGAGGAGCTCGGGCTGCAGCGTGCACCATTTCACTCTGCTTTGGGCACACACAATCCAACTTGAAGAGACAAGCAGGGTCCATGCGACCCAGAGGTTTTACCTAGTCCTCTGTCATTCGGAAGATGGGGCTGTCTGTGGAGACACGGCCGTGTAGATTCTGCTTTCTCTTCCTGAAAAGACAAGTGTCGTCATATCACACAGCAGAACACTCTGCACCTTCTCTAGCACCTTGTAAAGACTGCCCGTGAGGGCCCCACGCTTCTCAAGCTGCCTTTACAGTCTTCAGAATATAAAGAAGCCCAAGAGTTTCTGTGTGTTTAAGTCTGTCAACTGTTACTATATTAGACATTCAAAAATATTTTAAGATATCTATTGACTTAAAAATGACAAATCTATTGCTTGTTAATCCATACTTTTTTTTTTTTTTTTTTTGTGGAACCAGGGAATGAACACAGGCTCTTCTACTGAGCCCTCTCCCTGGCCCCCTATACAACTGTTTTATAGAAAATATATTTTTCAAAAAATAATGAATCTAGAGCGAAGAGTGAAACTGCTCTAGGTTCTGAGGAGCGCTACCATCTGCCTTAATGGACCACAGCTGCTCTACACTGTGTGCTGCAGTGCGTTAGTGCTGGCCCAGAGACGCCTGCCTCCAGGAGTAACACCCTGACACTTTCCACACACTTGTAAATAATTGCTGTGTCTTTGATGCTACATCAAAACCTGAGAGCGGCAGCCCCCCAAGTTAATTACCAAGTGGCACCCAAAATTCTCTGAAACAACTTTCCAAGTTGCGTTACAGTCCACTGGCTCCCTTGTGCCCTGAATGCACTTTGACCTAGGCGCTATTCTGCAGCATTGCTCACAGGCACTTAGAGGGCACTGGCTCAACAAGTTATTTAGTTGTTCTGAATGTGGAAACACTTCATTACACATTTGAAGAAAAAAAAAAGAATCAAAATTATTCATTACCAAGACTTCAACCTAAAATAAGAAAAAAAAAAAAAGATTTTAACTTCATCATAAAAACTACCAAGCTCAGAGTGGCAGAATAAAACTTCATTTCCTAATTTTGAGCTACACCCCCAGCTGAAAGTTGAACTTTATCGTGAGCAATGAGTTCTGTAAGCTGTTTATCCTGAAGTGAGGGACATGGTACATCTCTGAAGTAGCTCTCTGCAACTGGGCCTGGAGGCGCACAGCTGTAATTCCAGCACCCGGGAGGCCAAGGCAGGAGGGTTGCCAAAAGTTTGAAACTAGCCTGGGCTATTACAGGGTGAGTTCAAAGCCAGCCTGAGCTACGTGGAGAAACTGTCCCTCCCCGCAAAAAACAAAACAAAAGAAAACCCAATGAAACTCCTGGCAAAGACCCAAGTTTGCTGGTTACCTTTTCTTTCAAATAAAATTGGTGTTCCATGAAAGAAAGGAACTAGTTCAGTTCTAATTCAAATAATTAATTCTGCAAGGGCCTGAAGCTACCACCATTCTCTGGTATGCAATAAACATTATTTATGCATGTTTCCTATTTTTTCACAAAGAATGTTTGATGGATATGTTCTCAAGGGTCCAGATTTAACAAAATTATTAACTTCTACTGCTTAATACAGCATACATATAGTACTTGTTACTTTTTTTCCTGTACGTATGGATGTATTTATTTTGCAACAAGGTCTACTACGTAGTCCAGACTGGCCTCAAATTTGTGATCCTCCTGCCTCAGCCTCCCGAGGTTGGGATTATTGGCTCTTTCCTGTTTTTAGGGAGCATGCAATATCTTGCAGGATGGTGCAGTACCTGTACTGATTTGAGCTATAGGGCCACCATTCATTTACCAAGATTTCTACAGCAGCAGTGAAAATGTCAGTGCATTGGGCCAACCGCAGCTTACAATGAAGGTCGGCGTGACTCCATGGGTGCCTGCACAGTGTTTCAGGACCCCAGGGTGGGCCAAACACCCCTTGAGCAAGCCCATCAGAGCATCAAAAATATGGTGATTCATACCCATCTCCTACTGGATCGGAAGTCTACCTGGCATAATTAGGGTTTACAAAGTGAGGTTTGCAAGACAGCCACTGTGCTGAGGCTGAGGGACAGGGTACAAGCCAGGACTCACCTTCCGAGGAGGTGTGGCCGCGACCTGGGGGAGGGAGATGTGCATGTAGTCATCTGGATGGCAGATGGAGGCTGGAGGAGGAGAGGTTGCAGGGGTTCCCAGGGGAGTTCCTTTTCCACCTGTTCAGAGATGAGGGCAAAATACTCAGTCAACTGAGCCCCATTATCAGAAAAACTACCAGTTCTTTTCTCTGCCTATTACTGCAAGTAAGGCTTCAGAATTAATTTCCTGGGAACCTAGATCTTGCTTTTCTTCCCCTTTGGTATGCAGTAAATGTTATTTATACATGTTTCCTATTTTTGTCACAAAGAATATTAGATGGACATGTCCTCAAGATCTAGGGAACCCTAGATCTCTCTTTTTCCCCCTAGGTTCACTTTTATTCATTCTGAAAACCCCAAAGGTTTGCATTAGGGGTCAAAAACAGTCAGTGGAATAAGTGCTTCCCTGGCAAGCGCAAGGGCCTGAGTTCAATCCCCGGTTCCACAAAAAAATGCCAAAAAAAAAAAAAAAAAGGTCAAAAACAAGTTTAGTAGTACAAGCGGCCCCTAATCACTATGAGATCTGATGACAGTTCCTTCTGCCATGAAATGCAGGCCCAAACCAACCATTACATCCAGGATGTGCATACCAGTTGTGCCGAAGACTTTACTATACGGATGTGACAAATCAGGTGGGACATTTCCAGGAGACGTTGGAGGAGTGGTCATACCACAAACCACAGATGGGCTCCAAAGAGTAGCCTACAAAGTAAAAAGCTCATCAGCAATGGTAAATTAACAGTTTCCTCCACAAGGTTTAGATGTAATATTGTTTAAATTTAACCTTTCCAACTGGAAAGAGCATCTTTTATTAAAGCTTTATTAAAAGACAAGCTGTATTCTGTACATCCTGACTCCGAGAAGGCCCATGAGGTCACAGGAGACTGCTCTGCTCTGGACGTTTATCCCTGAAAGGACCTCCTGAAATGTGCAGTGTGAAACACTTGCGACCATCCACTGAATCCTGACCAGCATCACCAGGAGGCAGAGGGGAAACAGGCACACTGCGTGACACCATACTTGTGGCGGCTCAGGTAATGGCCGAGTCAACTGGAAATCCAGAGAGTGAGCTAGATGCCCTGGCGTACTGAAGAGCGTCGGCCGGGAGGCGGAGTAAGGGGTGGAAGTAGCGTTGCCTGCAAGAGAAGAGCACAGCGCATCAGAGTAGGGCTTCAGATTGTTCTGACAAAAACTGACAGTCCTCAGACCATCTTATAACACTCCATCATCTGCATGTTTAAAGTATGACAAGCTCTCCCCTGCCCTTGGGTCTAACACAGCATCATTTAGAGAAGGTTTCTTAATGCTCTTGGGCAGCAAGAGAACAGGGAGGTCTGATGTTGATAACTGGAAGGGGCACATGATGAGGTATGGGTGGGTGCAGCCTATGGAGAAAGCCCAGATTTCAGTATGAACCTAGTTCTAACTTCCTGCCCAGAAGGCCTCTCACTACATGCCTCAAAGTATGGGTTTCCTCAGACAGGAGCCTCGCCTTTCCTTGTTAAATGCTGAGGACCCAAGGCCAAGTCTGTGTACACGGTCCGGCTGGACACCAGAGACGATTAAACTTGAAGGAGAACATTGTCAAAAGAAAATGGAGGCAAATTCAAATCTAAACCATTTTGGGAAAAGTTCCTAGGAAATAAACTAAGCCCTGATCTAGGAAAAGAACATTCAGCCAACAAAGATAAGCAATGTTTTGCAGAGACAAAGTTGTAAGAGAGCTAAGTACCGAAGTCACTTTTTACCATAGCTGTTCTGTGTGTCTACATAAGGGCTGGTGGGGACGTCTGGGGGACGGTGAGGGAAGCGGGTGGAGAGCTGGCGAGACACAGAATAGCCGTCTTCGTAGGAGGCTTCTGCAGGGTCCAGAGAGATTTTGGCACATTCTATGACAACATCGTGAGTTTCTAATTTCTTCCACCTAGAAAAGACAATGAAAGCCAAGAAAAGCAAAGGGAAATCCACTTCATTACATTGGATACTTAAGAGGGCTCACAGGCCAGCCCCGGGCCCAAGGCCTACAGGCCCAAGGCAAAAGCCCCGCTGCTAATAGAAGAGGACTTGGCCATTCATCCTGTAAGACTATCTTCTCTACTTTTTTCCTTTTTCTTTCTTTTTTGTGTTAGCAGGAAGCAAACTTCAGGGCCTCACACTTGCCAGTCAGGTGCTGTGCTGCTGAGATACATCCTTGGCCCTACCTTCCGTACTTACACGGCTGGATCAAGTTAACAGAAACTAACTTGAAAGTAAATGTTCAACAATAAAGTCTAGGCACAGCCTCAATGTAACACACTGCAGAGGCCACCATGGCAAAATCTCCTTGGAACCAAGGAGACCAAGGCACAGGGAACGCCAGAGAGCCCGAGGCAGAAGCAGCTGACGTGGGTCCCTGTCAAAGCATCAGAGCTCTTCTAATCCACCCTCACACCACAGTAAGTGCCAAAACACAGATTACAGATCACCTAAAGAACTGCCCAGAGATTTCTGCTGCATGAGCCACAGCTCTCCCTGCAGTAACTTATTCTACAGAAAGACACATCGTGATATAAACCGTATGGGACAGCCCAGCTGAGAGAGAGGCAGGAACCAAGCCAAAGGACAAGGACAGGGCAGCACACCGCCGCGAAAGGCAGGCTTTCAATAGTTGCTGCTGCCACACGTACAGGGAGGGAGAAAGGAACTTGTAGGGCCATGGGTATGTTCTTTATGGTGCCTACACCTTTTGTCACAACTTAGTCAAACTGATTTGTTTTATGCTCTGTAAATTACATGCCATAGGAAAGGTTATTTTAAAAATGTAATTTAAAAGTGTTAGAAGATGTAAGATGCTCAGAGTAGAATCATAAATTTAAACTCTTTAGAGATTTGCTCACAAATATATATCTGACAGCATTAAGTATTCAACCTGAAAGAAATGCAAGCTGGACACTAAAGCTCAGTGGCAGAACACTTGCTTGGCCTGGGCAAGGCCCTGGGCTCCCTCCCGAGTGCAAAACAGCAAAGAACCAGGAATCAGGGACAATATTCATTTGCTTCTTTTGTCTCCAGTATTTGCCAGATGTTCCTTCCACAAAGGCCTTAACAAGGACCAGGACACGCTGAAACATACACTTCATTCTAGAAAAGGCTCATGGCAGTGCATTCCTGTTATTGCCACTTTCAAATCAATTTCAACACAGCTTTTTCAGCCTTCCTAAGGACTTAGGAACTCTACCCCCGCTTCTCATCTTCTGTTCTGAAGTTTATGAGGAGAAACACAGCAACACTAAGAGTGCCCCAAAGGTTCACCCCACAAAACGTCATCCAACACAACTGTTGAGAATGTTTATCAAGTCTTACTGTTGAAAATGAGGGGGGCTGGAGAGATGGCTCAGTGGTCTAAAGCACCTACTTGAAACAAGCTTGGCAAAGCACAGGGACCGCGGTTCGATCCCCCAGCACCACATGCCAGCCAGCCCCGCCCCCTGGTGGGCTGAGCTGGCCACACACACGATAAATAAATGTAATAAATAAAAATAAATAATTAAAAAAAAAAAAAAAAGAAAATGAGGGGTGGGGTACAGAAATGAGGGTGCTTGGTTGTGGGGAAGGCAGCTTTCTCAGCGGTAAGCCTTTCCCTCGCGAACTGCGGGTCACAGCTGCACCTGTTCCTGTGGTTATGTGTTGCTGGGGTGGCCTCCTGTCCCCAGGCTCAGCACCTCTGGAAGGTGACCCAGAGATAGCAGGACTCAGGATGTACACGTACACAGGAAGACTGATTTCAGAGAACAGTGAAAATCCCACTCAAAGAGCAATACATTTAAATGCTTTATTTAGTTATATATGGACTGTATTTCCTTAAATCTTACAACAAATTTTCATTTTTTGGATCTCTAATTGGGACTATAGTCTAATCAGCTGCATTAGTTGATGTGGCACCATTTCTCTAAGATGTGCATAAAAAGCAGGTATGTCCCACATGAAGACTGTGGTTTACAAAGGACAGTGCCTCGAGGCAAGCCCAGCCCTCCGTGGCCACCACTGCGAGCCAGCTCCCAACGTTGCTAGGTGCCTGCTACATGCCCCCACTCCCTAGGAACATGTCCTGGGGTTCATTTCTGAGTTATGAACTCTGGCCCTCATCTACCACTCCCTCTTAGGTAGGCAAGGACTGAGGTAATGCCATGGATCCTCTCCTTCCTCCAACATTCCCTGTTACTGTTACTTTCCTAATCAATTCCAACAATGACCCAGACTGCCTGGGTGCTGCTCATGGCTGAGTCAGAAAGCCGCAACATTTCCTCTCCCACTGGATTTGTTTGAGAGTTCTAATTTGCCCGTGTTTTCCGTGTACTGCTAAGTCTTCCTAAGCTTACTCTAGCAGCTCTGCAACAACGGCTAACAAAACCTTTGTATAAAGAAATGCGGAGACCTTGCAGGCTTACACCTCGCCCCCGTAGGGGCCTCCCCAGCATGCTCCTGGAGCCTGGGCTGCCCCGGGGCCGGGCTGCTGCCATCCCAACACTCCCTTGCCTGTTGTCCTGACTCGGTCCCCAGTTCCCTAGACTCTGTGCCTTCTCCCTCCTTGCTTTACCCTCATTTTGGTACAACGCATGCCTGTGGCTACCTTGGGATAAATGGGAGTCTGAGTCCTTGCCCACCTGAAAATACCACACACGTCAGGCGGCCTTACTGGATACAGAATTCTAAGTTGAAAGCCTTTTTTATTCCTTTATTTTAAAAAAAGGCTTCAGAAACTAATACCAACCTAAAATCTGATCCTTATTAAGTGTTTGATTATCTATCTCTGAAGGGCTATTTCTGTGGTGTTCTGAAAATTCACAATACTGAAATCTGGCATACGTTTTGTGCTGCTGGAGCTGTGTGTTAGGTAAGCCCTTTCTGGAAGCTCGTACTTTCAGCACCAGCGAGCGTCTTTATGTCTTCCACAATTTCTTCTTCAAAGCGTTTTCTCCTTTTAAACGTTTTTGGATTGGACATCGGACTTCCTGCACTGATCACACTGCCCCGCTCTCCTACTACCCATTTCCACCCGTGGGCTCAGCTTTCTGATACATGTGAAATTTTATCTTCCAACTCTGTGGCTGAAATGTTTACTCTGGCTATTACTTTTAAGTTCCAAGAGCATAATCTTAACCTCAGAAGGGTCCTCTTCTACAGCATCCTGACCTTTCCACCGTCATGGACAAGTGCTGTGTCCCTGGGCCATGTGGACTCTGTCTGTGCTTCCCGTTAGGGCTTCTAGCCCCCTTTTCTCCTCTTTGTGCTGGTCTGTCTGCTTGCCAGGCTTTCTCCCAACCCAGATGCTGTGCTTGGCCTCGCAGGTGCGGAGCTGCATGCTGGCTGAGATGGCCTCCAAGCAAGTGTTATGGTTTGTGCGTAGCTGTCCCCCTCAAAGCCTCATGCAATCATGGAGCTGCTTCTGCAGTTTGTGACTGATTCTTGATCCAATGCTGGGATTATGGAGCTGTGTGTTAGGTAAGCCCTTTCTGGAAGCTCGTACCTTTCAGCACCAGCGAGTGTCTTTATGTCGTCTACAATTTCCTCTTCAAAGCGTTTTCTCCTTTTAAACGTGAGTGCCCTGGGGCAGATATTCTACACTACCACGTAAGGAGGGGAGAGAGGCCAGCGAGCTGCCTGAACTGCGGCCACTCTTTCTGCTCTCTGCTCTTTGCCACTGCCATGAATAGTTGCTCTCTGCCTTGCACCGCTCTGCCTTGGAGCCAGCTGAGTACGGACTGAAACCTCCCACTAACTGTGAGCTAAATAAACCTTTCCTTCCCTAATTTTGAGTGTCAGGTATTTGTCCCAGCAGCGAGGGAAGAGTGAGACAGCAAGTAAAGCAGGTTAGACAGCTGCACCCAACTGAAAACTCCCCAGGATCCCACCATCTAAAGACTTATTTTCAAATATAAACCCATGTGGATGAGAATGGGGAGGCACACACATTTGATTAGTGGAGAGCAACAGGCAAGTGGTGACTGCTGAGCCGAGGAAAGGAAGCCTCGCAGGTGCGGTGAGCTCAGCTGGAGGGTACACAGCTTCAGGACCCAGACGAGTGGCAAGTGGACGGGGGCAGCTAACTGAAGCAGACAGGGTTAAAGCCAGGAGGAATCTGAGCACCAAGGGGCCACACTCCTCGGCAAGGGCTCTTTTCTCAACAGAAATCAGGATTATTCTCTAGAGTAAAATGGCCTTCTAGATGAGGTATTCTGGAAGAGAGGGCAGGAATACTCTCCAAACAAGGGGATGAGTGAACATACACCTTCAAAATGCCAAGAGCACTCACTGAGCCCTCCTTGCTGCTAGCCCTTTCCCCAGTGGCATCAAGACCTCAACTAGCTGGAGAGCAGAAGAAGGTTCCCTACAAGCCTGCCTGGCTCGAGAAGAAAAACAGACCCACATGCGCCACGCACACAGCCCGCAAGTGCTGCTCGGGGCAGAGCCCGCAGCTGCCCGCCTGGACACAAGCTCATCACCACGCTTTCCTCAGCAGCACACACACAAGCAGGTTACTGAAGCCTCAAGGATTTACACAGAAAAAATCCAAACAAAAAAGCAAAGCTTAGGGGCTGGTGAGATGGCTCAGTGGTCTAAAGCACCTACGTAGAACAAGCTTAGCAAAGCACAGGGACCGCGGTTCAATCCCCCAGCACATGCCAGCCAGCCCGCCCCCTGGTGGGCTGAGCTGGCCACACACACACACACACACACACACACACACATAAATAAATAAAATAAAATAAAAAAAGAGTAAAGCTTAGAAAGAATGAATTATGCAGGGAAAATAAGAGAACGAGAAAAGTCAACACGCCCAAAGATACGCAAGGTTGTCATGTCTGAAAACTCAAAAGAGCTCCTAGATATGAAAAATATGGTAGAAATGACAATCATTACAGAAGGATGAAAAGCCCAAGGAAAAGAGATCTGCTGGAAATGGAACAAAAGAATGCAGAAAGAAAAAATAGGAATGGAAGAAAATCAAGGATATCCCAATCTCAATATTAGAAGTACTGGCAGAAAGACAGGAAAAAAGGAAAGGAAAACAATCAAAAAATAATTCAAGATTTCCTAAAATTTAAGAATTTCTCGGGGTTGGTGAGACGGCTCAGTGGTCTAAAGCACCTACTTAATTTATTTTTTTTTTTTTAATTTTAGTTATTTATTTTGTGTGTGTGTGTGTGTGTGTGTGTGTGTGTGTGTGTGGCCAGCTCAGCCCACTAGGGGGCGAGGCTGGCTGGCATGTGGTGCTGGGGGATCGAACCAGGGTCCCTATGCTTTGCTGAGCTTGTTCTTAGCAGGTGCTTTAGACCACTGAGCCATCTCACCAGCCCCTAAAGCACCTACTTAAAACAAGCTTAGCAAAGCACAGGAACCAGCACCACATGCCAGCCAGCCCCGCCCCCTGGTGGGCTGAGCTGGCCACACACACACACACACACACACACACACACAAATAAAATTAAAAAAAAAAAAAAGAATTTCTCAGCTGAATAACAAGAGTAGACTCATACCAAGAGCACCCTGAGAAAAATCTTAAAATATCATGTCAGCAAATTACATTCTCTATGCTGCAGCAGAAGAAACTAAAGAGAGGATCCAAAATTCGAATGCCACCAGGTATGGTGGCACACACCTGTAATCCCAGCACTTGGGAGGCTCAGGAAGAAGGACTGCTTGGAGTTCAAGACTGGCCTGCACTACACAGTGAGCTCAAGATCAGCAGGAACTACATAGTGAGACCCTGTCTAAAAAAAAACCCAAACATCAGAATGCCTTTCGATTAGCACAGAAACACTGGCTGAAAAATGGCAGCAGAAAGGCACTTACAGTTATTCAGTGAGGCTGACTTCCAGCCTGCAGATCTACCCCCTGGCACCCAACCGCATCACTTCTCAGAATGCTGCTCCTCCAAAACCTGAGTGAGCCATGAAAGACAACATGAGACACAGGCTATGAAGATGCTGCCCAAGAGAGGGGCAGGGCAAAGCTCCAGAAGAGCTAATGGCTGGACACAGGCCAGATGACACAGCTTCCAGAGAGCAAGCCGGCCAAGTGAGGTGTGTGCTACAGACCGTGCTCGAGGCTCCTGCTTGCCCCACCCTGTCTGTGCAGCCAGGAACAAGGCCAGGTAACCCTGGCCGAGATCATTTGTCTTCACTTTGAGAGATGAGGCTGCCACTGTCAGATCAGCAGAGGACTTCCACTCTACCCTGCAGAAAGATTCAGCCTGACCAAGCCCCAAGAGCTCCAAGCAGCCAGCACACCGTCTGTCTCAGCCTTGCCAGACACTGTGACAAGGGTGAGCCGTGGGCTTCCCTGGCCTTCCTCATGACTTTGTGTGATGTCCTCCCAGAGGGATTCCCTTCCTCTCAAGGACACTGAAGCCAGACCCAGACTCCAACACTCTGCTCCCACCCTCATCCTGGGGACCCTGCCTCTCACAGTGACAGGACTGCCCCTCCTGAACCAGGATGGCTTCTTAATCAGCTTTTCAGAGTAGAACACAAAACAAAACCTACAAAGACAAGAAAATAACAGAAAGCAAGAGCAAAAGTTATCTTGGAGGTGAGAAGCGAACAGGGAGGAAAAGGGTCCCATGGGGGCCCTAAGATAATGGGAATACTGTTTTTCAAGTAGGATGCTGGTTACATTTTGTGCATGATTACTCCACTTTACATGTACACCAAGTACCCTTCTCTACCAAACGCACCCCCGTGAGTTGCTTTAGGCCAACTGAGGCTGCATGGTTGAGGCATAGCCGGGGAGACATGAGGCTGGCTGCAAGGAGAGGCAAGGAGCCAGCCTTCAGAGTGCGAGACTACATAGGTCAGCATCTATGGCTGTTTCCTCAGAGGACTCTAAGCCCTCACTGGAGAAGTAGAGAAGTAGGGGGGATCAGAGAGATGGGAGAGGCAGAGAGGAGAGCTGCTTGCAGCTCAGTTTGTTCACTTTCCTTGATGTTCCTCCTTTCCAAATGCGAACTCAGTCCCACTGGCACTGAGCTGGTGCCCTCACATCAGGGGCCTCACTCCAGCCAGCCTCTGAGAGCAAGCCTGACCACTTTGCTAGGCCCCACAGTGGGGCACGCAGAGAGGTGCCTGGCTACGTCCGGGGAGAGGCCCCAGGGAGGCCCAGCACTCAGCCCACGGCCTTTCTGCAAGCCCCTGGCCAGCCGCCTACTCCACACAAGGCTGGCACAGGGGGTAAAGCCTCCTGGCACTGGAGGACATGACCTTGCACTGCAACCTGCCTGCCTCCGCTAAAGGAGTTACCAGTGCTCTGACCATGAGGGGTACCTTTTAGATTCCCACAAGTTCCAGCTCCATAAGTGCTTCTAAATGCAACTATTCTGCAAACTGAACATTTGCAGTCCCAAACATTTTCCCAATATCGATACCTCCCAAATCACATTCTCAGTCCCTCAAGAGATGCTGAAAACTCTTGTCACTCATGCGGTTTCTGTACCTTCGAGGGTCCAGTTCGTGGTCCTTGGATCCAGTCACTAATTCTGGGTGAATTCGCACATGTTCCATCATAGGCTAGAAGAGTTTGGGTTGACAAATAACAGGCATGAGTTTTTGTGGCATAGCCACACAACAGAACAGTAAATTCTTCGACAATAAAAAGGAATACAATGCTGACCATGTCACAGTATGGATGACCCTTAAGCACTGTGTTGAGAGAAGCTAGTCACAAAAGAGCACCCCGTGTATGACCTTGTCTATCGGTCTGAACCGCCCTGAACAGCAAGCCTTCATTATAAAAACAGAAAGCCAACTAGCACTTATCTAAGAATGATTTGGGGTTCTAGGAAAAGGCTGGATTTCTTTTCGCCTACCATTTAATGCAAATGTTGTAAACGTAGCCCATCTAAATAGTACACTAAGTACTGTATCAAATAAATAAGCAGTGTTAATTTACCTTGACCACTTCTTCAAACGTCTCCAAGTTTTCCTTCATACTGTAGTGAGAACGCAGAAATGAGACAAAGTTGCAGGGGTACATTCCATACAGGCGATGGAAGAGGGCATAAACACTGGCATGGAGATGGACAAGGTAGACTTCTGTCACGTGGCCTAAGAAAGGAAGCCAGCAAGACGAGACGCTTAGTTGCCAGGAGAGCCTGCTCTGTGCACAACACACATGAAGATGAAGAGCGGTCTTCTCAAATGCAAACCTGAACACACCAGATGGCCTCGACTTAAGACCCAACAATGGCTGCTATGGAATTTTGGATATCATGTCCCCAAAGGAGCCCCAACATTCCAGCAACACTGAGCTACTTTTATGATGATGTCATTCTCTTCACAATTTCTTTTTAATTTGATGCATGGTCTCACTATGCAGCTAGGACTCAGCAATCCTCCTGTCTGAGCATCCCCCAGTGCTGGCATTACAGGTGTGCACTACCACGCCCGGTTTCGAGGCCAGCACAGTGTGCCCAGGGTTCCAGGGCCTGCATGGCAGGCAGTACCAGAGATTGAACTCGGGATCTTGCACTTGCCAGGCAGGTGCCTGGACCACTGAGCTATCTCCCCAGCCCCTCCTTACAATTTCTAGTTGCACTTTTCTTACTGCTCAATTCAGTGTGCATGTCTTGAGAAAAGAAGCACCCCACTCAGTCCTCTACCACCAGTGCCTTGCAGTGCTTGGAGTGCAAGAAGCACCCAAGTGTGTGTGGAATGAATGTGCTAAACCCTTTCAAAATTGCGATACAGTCTCCATGATGCAGACTGTAAAGAGCAAAATCCCCACTCCCCGGAAATTATCTGAAATTGCTAGGAGTGGGAGAATTTGATGACTGTGCTAATCTGCCCTTACCTATACCACGTGGAAACCCCAGCTCCCCTATAATAATACTGGACACTGCCTTCTCTGACAGAGCCTAAGAAATAAGGTGGCATCACATGGGATGATTTAATATTGTCCGGGAAGCCACAGTGCTCTCTCGCAGGTCTTAACAGCTATCATCCTTTCCATATGACTACCTCACGGTGGCATCATGAAGATTCTGACTCTCATGGGCACACAGCTTCTCACCTGCCCAACAGAGCCATGCCACCTGCTGAGCGAGAAAAATCATCCCAGTGTGCCTGAACTGGGAATCAGGATGAGCACATGCTACACCTCCTCTCCTCCTTTGACATCTCCAATGAACAGGTTCTCAGAATCAAAGTTTGCATTCTGCACCAAAGATCACCAGAGTAAAATGAAAACATTCTGCCGGCTCAGTCATCTCTGCAACCACACAGGGTGAAACTGTTTCAGTTCACTGAAAATCAGAAAGGCTTCCATCCTTGCACTCCTTTTCTCTGACAACTAATCCTTTTAAGCCAACAAAATAAGGACAGCTTCTCTCCAGCCAAGCCTGTGGTGTGTACAACATGAATGCAACACAGATTTTCTCATCTGTCCAGGGACCACTCATTTCAGCATCAAACTCTTGATCGTAACCAAAGTAGCATTCGCTGGTGGAGCCTTCAGAGATACAAGGAATGGGTACCTGGTTTCTTCAGACACCATGATGAAAGTCGGCCAAAGATATCAAAGAAATCAAGAAGATGCTGCTTCCCAGACTGCGGGATCATGGGTAGCATGGTGATCAACACCAAGACACCCGTTGTGAGGATGACGACGTCGGTGTCCATCTGCGGAAGGACAGGCAAACAAGAACCACTTGTGAGGCACAGTGCTGGGTGGCAGGTAAGGCTCTGAACACTGACAGACCACCAACGCTCCTCTATACTCAGTTCCCTATACGTAAGGATTTGAGGGGAACGCGCAGAAATGGACTGCAGAGAACAAGTGGCGAGGCGCAGATCTGTTGTGATGAACCTGGGTCGCCTGCAATGTGCCCACACAGCCACCACACCCAGGAGATGCATTTAATTCTCAGTCTGGAGACTTCTAAGTCCTGAAATCTCAGGACCCCCAACTTATAATATTTGCATAGTGGCACAAAAAGTTGTTTCCTAACAGCACAGAACACTGCTTTGTTTTCATCAAATCCTGTATTTATTTTTTTGCTACATCAGTTTTTAAAAACACTACATTTTGGGAATAATTCCTTGTGGAGTCATTTGATGTTGCTGTTTGTTTTTTCTGTTGCTGGGGTAGGACCTCATGTATGCTAGGCATGCACTCTACAATGGAGTTACACCCCAAAGCGATTCACTGTTTCATTTTTTAAGGGATTACTACAGAGCTGTAATTGTGGGAAAAATTAGAATTGCACTAACAAGTTGATGACTCACTTTCATAACAGTAAAGATCTGCAAATACATTTCTGCCCATACTTTAAATATCAAGTCAATTCTAGGCTAACGAGACATTTGACACCAATGGATAATGAGTCAGCTCAGCCAGCTACAGCAACTCACTTGACCCATAATTAAATTATGGATGTTTGCCAAGTAACTGAAATTAAGATTTATGAAATAAAACATTAATCAAGAGACCATGCAAGCTATGGCACCCAGTATTCTTACTAGAAAAGAAATCTATGAATCTAAAAATAAAATTTCAAATATATTTAATTTTCACACCAAGCCCCAACCTTTTTTGTGGCAGGTATGTGGTAAGAATATATTGGTAGGAGACCTGAGGACATACAATGGGAGTACATGAGACTCAGCATAAAGGGCCACCCTAATTTCAGTTACCTAATTTGAATTAAAGACCTAGGTAACAGTCCATAATTACTAGTCAACAGGCTTACCCTTTTGGAAAAGATACACGTGTTTAGCACTCTGAACTAAATGCTGTGCCCCAAAATTGGGTTATCTCTTCAAAAACCTCTTGCTCAAAGCACATGAAGTTGTCAAACTGTCCTGCTTTGTGGGTGTGTGCTGTTGTTGCTCCTTCCTCTTTACATCAAATGCATGACTTTATGACAGCCGACCAGTGAGACTCCTTGGGGCCTCGGGGATGTAAGAGTTCACCCTTGCTGGCAAGAAGCAGAAATCAACGTGTGTGGCGTAGTGTCAGATGAACCTGAAAGTACGCCGTCCTGGCACAAGTGCTACTGACATGTCCGCGTCTCTGTGAGACACAGGTCAGCAATATTAAGCACATGTTCTTATTTTACCAAGAGGAAATAAGGCTAGGAACTGCAACAGATTAAGAAAATACCTCTGAGTTTTTCAGCAAGCCACAGTCAAAACTAAAATCATAAAGTTGAAGTTCTGACTATTTAAGAAAAACACACCTAATGCAGTAGCAGAAAAAACAGAATGCAGCTCGTAGGACCTCTATCAACAAAAACTTAAATTATAGCTGCCACGGGAAGTACCATGCTCCTAGAGCATTAACAAGACCTTTAGCCATTTTTCTATTAAAGAGAAATTCCTAAAAGAGAACTCCACAAATTTTAATGGCAGGAAGGCTAGACAATGATGAAAACAGAGATATTTAGAGCAATACAATGTTAAAGCCACTGACTGACTCCGTACTTACTTGCTCCAATAAAGATACTCGACAGTTATGACACAGCTGAGAATTACAAAATATTAACTCTAGACTTCATTACGTTAAAGAAACACCTACAAGTTTTTAAATTCTAAAAGTTAACATCCAGTTTGCTTATTTCACTCAAATCCCTACAAGACATCTTACCTTGAGACATTTTAGTAAAGAAGGCAAAAGAGGTGCTTGGGAGAGCTTATGCTTCCAGGACGGCTGCAGTCTCACGACGTGCCCCAGCAGCAAGAGGATGGATAACCGCGTAGCGGCTTTGCCCACGTACTCATTGATTTTGTCCAAAAGGTGCTGAAAATGTAAAAGAACATGGGAAAAACCTCACGTGTATAAAGTTAACCCAAACACAGGCAGTGGCGATGGACTTCAGCCTCTCGTCTGCCTCTGATGCACACTGCTAAAGAGATCAAATCCAAGATTTTTAAAACCATGTTAGCAAACAAAATAGGACTGCTCTTGGCCTGAAAACCACCAGGGCGCAATTCATGAGAAGATGCTCAGCATATGAGCCACAGGAAGAGAGGGGGACACGACACAAGAATGCCCTCACAGCCTCTCTCCATCCCCACTATAACCACTGACCCCAGATCTGGGGCAAGGTATTGAAGCTGGGAGGGGACCTGCTGGAAGCCACTTATTGGACAACTTCCCAGCACATATGCTTTGGCCCCAAATAGAAATCAGGCAGCAGCAGAAGTTACAATTTAGACCAGAGTACGGGGAGGGGGGGATTATTTTCTGTAAAGGGGGCACAGTGGCAAGATCTTAAAATCCTAGTGAAGGCGCTTGAATATATGCACTCAAGACTTTCTAGTTTGCAATTACATACATCAGTAGTTATGTGCCACAGACAAAAGTAAGAACGAGACCAAAACAAAGAAAGCACGTGAGTGCCTGGTGCCAGGAGGCAGGACTCACACCACTTACCTAAGACAGGGATTTTCCCGTACTATAAACCTAAAAAGCCTACTCAAAGCGGGGGCTTAATTACAGGCAGCATATGGGTGAAATCTTTACTGTACAATCACCTGTACAGGGATTCTAAAATTTCTTTAAACAGAAAGACTGTTACAACACCTCTGATGGCGCTAGAGATGTAGCTCAGCGGCACAGCACCTGCCCAGCAAGCACAGGGTCATGAATTGGATTCTGGATATTAAAACCAAAACAAGGGCCAGCCAGATAGCTCAGCAGACTAAAGAGCCTGCCGAGGTAGAGCACAGCAGCCAGGGTTCAAACCACAGCGGTGTTCCATGCTGGCCCCGCCCCCGGGGCATGAGGCGCAATTGAGACTGGGCGTGGTGGCGCGCCCCTGTAATACCAGCACTTGGGAGGCTGAAAACAGGAGACTATGAGTCTGATCTACGCAGTGAGACCCTGTAGATCCTGTACTAAAAAAAAAAAAAAAAAAACAAAACCCTTCTGATGTAGGTTTTATTTTGTAAATGTTCCCAGAAATGGAAGCTTAGAAATTATCTTCATGTGTGTAATCTGGGCATGATATTACATGTAAAGCTCTGGACAAACCACGCAATGTTACCTGATGCTTGCAGGACATCTCAAATGCCCCCACTACCTGCCAGCAGTTACCTTATCGTGTGGCTCCTGCAAGGTGGTCAGGATGTGCAACACTGGCTGAGAGTTGGTCTCCAGGTAATAATCCACCAAGGTGTTTACAAGCATAGGACCACGGTCTAACACAGAAAAGAACAATTTATTTCCTTCCTTTAACATTCTTCACTATCCCAAGTCACAAAAGCCGGCAAACATTGTTACACACTGCCCAAAGCCTTACACAGCATCATGTTTCTGTCTACTTAAACTTAGATTTAGCATAATTTTAAGCATATATGCCTAACTGTTCATAAAAGCATACAAAATGCTATCATTACTTTTGTAATTATAAAAATATTTATGCCTATTATTACAGTAAGAGTATGTAAGAGTGCAAATCTGAGTAGGCACAAGGACCAAAATGTTAGGTCAAGTAGGAGAGGGAACTAGGGAGCAGGCAGAGTGACAGGAAAGAAACTGAGAAGAGGAAAATTGGAAACAAAGCTTTTGTAAATAAGGGGAAGAGGCACTGAAGCAAGGCGAGAGAAAAGGGGAAAAGAGTCCTACCATGTACAGATACAAATCCCCTATGACAGATGTATTACGTACATCTAAAATATATCCAATAAACTTAATTTTTTAAAAAAGAAAGGGCCAGCGAGATAGCTCAGCAGACTAAGCACCTGCTTAGGCAAGTGCAGGGACTGGGTTTCATCACCAGCATGCGTGCTGCGCCAGCCTGGCCTGAGACTCGGCGGGGGGCGCACGCCTGTAATGCCAGCGCCGTGGAGGCTGAAAACAGGAGGATCCTACGAGTCTGGGCTGCGTGGCCAGACCCTGTACCAAACATATTTAAAAAAAAAAAAAAAAAAGGAAAAGAAATTAAAAAGGAAAACAGAAGCGCAGTGTCTCTGCATGACTTGCTCCAACCTGCCTGTCAGAGCTGAGCACACTTGGCACGGAGTGTGTCCTTCCCAGCACTGGCCTACTTGCAGCATCACCTCCAAACTGTCCACATTCACAGGATTTTTTTTTCCACTTAATTAACAATATACCACAGACAGCCTCAGTGACAGCAGCCATGACCTGCTTTGTTCCTTCCACTGTCTTCACAATGCTCTACTTAACCATTCATGTACCAAAGGATACTTGGGTTCTCCAAATTTTCAGCATATTTCATTTGAGGCTATGATGAGAGTCTGGTTCTGCTTAGTGGCCAAATAAGATGTGCTTTTTAACTTAACACAAACACTGCAAAACTGCTGAACACACTTTATACTCGATTCAGCAGTGCTCATTTTTCACAGTTTACAATTGACTTGTAAACCTGGTAAGCAAAAAAGGGTTCCACTTGAGTCTGTATTTCTCTAAAGAGAGACTGACCACTTTTCATATTAAAAACCACAGTGTGATTTATAAATAAAATAATATACCTGAATTTTTTCTTTGAATTATGTGGAGAGTGAGGCAGGATGAAAAAAAAAATGGCATAAACTCTGAACCTAGATTCACGGGGTCCAAGAGTCTCACATCCTTTGTGCTTCTTTATTTCCGGAACTAAAGGTTTAAAACACTTACAGCATGAATCCCCCAGTGTGCGCTCTCTTCTGGTGGTTGATAAACTCTCGTCAGAAGATGAAAACTAGCACTTGTCAGCTGGGTTCTAGCTAGCTCAAGATCCATCTCTTCCTGTGGGCACACAAACTAAAAGAACACTCCCAGGCTTACCGGAGTTGAGGTTCTCTTTAAAGACAGCCGTCACGTCGTTCCGCACACCCAGTGTGGGAGAATCCAGCATGGAAAGCAGCTCCCCCACATTCGCTGGCTGGGCCATTCTCTCACACCCCTCTGTGGTGCTGGCTCCAGGACTCGCATTAAAGGCTCATATAGCTCTTCATCAGGGCCACTACCAGACTACAAAAGGAAGGTGGGCGGTGTAAGCAGTGGTTCTATTTTCCCCCGCAAAACGGGTATGATGGCACAGGCCTATAATCCCTGCCTCTGGAGCACTATAAGTTTGATGTAGACTTTGTCTCAAAAAATAAAAAAGGCTGGAGATACAGCTCAGTGCAAAGGCCTTGGGCTCCATCCCTAGTACCAACTTCCACAGTAAATTAAGTAAATAAGTTAACACACCAGCACATGTATTCAATGCAGTGAAATATTTGGCCACAACTGTTGGTAAGGGTAGGGCATACGGACAATGCCATCTTTGATACTTTATGAAGCAAGAGGGGGCTCTAAGGGATGAGATGGAGAGGAATCTCCAACACTGATGCCACTGAAACTAGGCATAGCAACTTGGTACTAATTTTTATTTTCACTGCTGGCTCTACTTGGGCTCCAGTCAGTGTTTATGTTTCAAATAACTGACCAAAAAGAACTATACGCACAATGTTTTCTTCATCACAATCGCATCAATGTATAAAAGTTGGGATGTCTGGACAGATCACAGGTCTAAGTACATTACCTGGTGTGAACCAGGGATGACATGTTCACAGCACGTACTTTTCCTCCTAACATCACATACCCAAAGGCTGCGGCTGCAGGGAGCAGCCAGATGGGAACCAGCAGAGCAGACCTTCCACCTGTCAGCTCTTCTTGGTGGTGCAGCAGTTGACTTTACGTACAAAAGCAGCTCTTTCCTCAAATGCTACTGTGCACACTTAGGATTTTTTTTCCCTCTACTTTGGTCTCTAAAGCTGTTCTTTTTAATAAATCAAAAAATAATAGCTACCATTTATATGACTGCTGCCACAGCCATCAGTGCACTGACTTCCTTATGCTACTAACTCGTGATCTGCATTTCCATCCATGCTGTAGGAAGGGCTTTGGGAAACCAAGATCAAGCTGCCTGCTCCAGATCGCAGACAAAGGGGTGGCGGTGATGCTGAAAACAGAATCCAGCTCTGCTTACCTCCACAGCCCAAAGTCTGTGATTTCGACATAAGGCTCACCTGTGATTCTGATCACCACAGCAAACTCTGAACTAAGCAGGTGTCATTCTTACTTTTGCCAAAATGAAATGGTAAACTATAACTTAAACAGCCCAATTCTCAGGCCAATGATTATGAATGTCATTTGTACCCACATGAAAACAGATTCCTATTTGCTTCTGAGTTAGCTACACTAGCTCTTAAGCCTTAGTGTGCATTAAAATCACTGGGATTCCTGTTAGAAAACGTTTCCTGGGTCCATTCCAAGACTGAATTTGAGGCTCACCACCTCTCCCCTCCCCCCACATCCTGGCCCAGGAGTGGAGATTGAACCCAGGGCCTTTACACTGATCTACATCTGCAGGGGTATTTTTTTTTTGTTTTGTTTTTGTTTTTTTGAGATAGGGTCTTCCTAAGTTACTAAGTTGCCCAGGCTAGGCTTGAACTTGTCATCCTCCTCCCTCAGCCTCCCAGAGTTCTGGGATTACACAGGCATGTGGTATGCTGGATACCATTTATATTTCAGGAAGAATCCCATGCCGTTCTTAAATAGGTGATATGCAGGCCTGCTTGGAAATGCTATGCTCAAGGAAAGTCTAAGGAGTTAAGCTTCTTCTGTAATGATGCTAAATTAGCACTGATCTAAGGACTGCCAGCTACTAGTTCACCACGCTCTCATCTAACTACACCTGGTGACATTCACTGGTTCAGCTACGACTGAGTCAGAGGTTCATTAGTTACTAGTTCA